GCAGATACTGATTGAAGAGTGTCCTGGGCTCACAGCATGTGTGAGGTTCTGAGCCGATGTGTCAATCAGAGCATCAGCAACGACCAAGCACACCGCCGCCCGTAGTGCAGCAGCGTACATGCAACTGAAAACGGAAATCGCGCCTCTACGTACTCAATGAAAAACTGGCTTATTGTAGGGGTTGGAGCAGTGACCCACTTCTCAATTGCATTGCAAGATCGGGTACCGGCCTTCTGTCGAAATCGGCCCCATGGCACAAATGCCAAAAGCGTGTTGCGTCGGTCGATGACGTGTCTATAACATCGGGCTCACGAATCGCTTTCGGAGACACTTCCCACATGAAGCTTTCCGGCCCATAGGAACGGCATGGCAACTCCATCCTGTCCCACGCTGCACCCCTTCCTGTTGCGCCGTAGGCTATGCCCGTGGCGAACCTGCCAACTGCCAGGCTTGATTGGCCCACGCCTTCCGTGTTGCAAATCCTCGCACGATAATCACGAGAATTCGTCAACAAGGGTTCTTCGATGGCTTTCGTGCAAAAACTTAGCCTTAGTTACTAAAGGGGATGGGTCAATACCACGTGTTGTCGCCTGGCCCCACCCCCCTCTGTTACAAACCCTTGTCGCGCCGGCTTTGTTTCATACCTTTGTCGCGCGGCAATGCTATATGATGGACCTTGTCGCGCCAGCCTTGTCGCAAAACACCAATCTTTGTTACAAACTTTGAAGCGGGAGGGGCGCCCCGGCCCTGTTACAAATCAGAAGGTTTTGATCATGTCCGGGCAGCTTGAGGATGAAGCCGCAGAAGACAAGGACCACCGTTCCTTAGCATACCGCTTGCTCACACTCCGTCAAAAACAAAGGCGGAGCTGGCCCGAGATGGCCGCGAAGGGAGACCATCCCTATCAGTAGGATCCCAGAAAAGACAAGGTGGGCCCCTTCGGACCCCTCATTCTAGCCGCCCCCAAGACTTGGGGGAGCGATGAGCGAAGCGTTTGAAGCAGGGTTTTGCGGTTGAAAAGGCAACAACATCTCTTGGCAGTGAAGCTCACGGCGGAAAAGATCGTGGCGATTTACCGTGATGACGAGGACGACATTGATGATCATCCTGATGAAGGTACTTGCACAAGACGATGATACTGATGATGATGACGATGATGACTTTGGAGGTGGAGATGATTCTGATGGTGCTGATGGCGATGAATGAAGACAATGGGTGATACTGGTACAGCGGCGGCGACGGCGGTGGCGATGGTGCACGTCATGATGCTGTGCTACTGAAAGTGCCGATGATGGCGATCACAACAACGATGATGACGGTGGCTGATAAAGAATGGCAGTCAGTTGGCGAGGATGCAGATGCCTTTCCCGAACTTCACACTACGTCACAACACGAAGCGACCCCAACCGAACAGCTTCAGCAGAAGTGGCGGTGCGTCCACTCACCAAACATGCCATCGCCCAAGATGCCGTCCTCTGAAACGTTCGCCCTGAAGCCTGAGATTCCTAGAACTGCCTCGATTGCTTCGGAAAACCGCTGTCCTTTACGACCATGTAGACCAAGCTGGCCAGCGCCCAGGAGACCTTCAGGCATGAGAACCTGGCCAACTACAAGAAAGGCAACAGAAGCAACAACCACAACCGTTGCCGTGGGCGCCAAGCTCGCCCGTGAGAATAGTCGCGATGACATGATAATCCCGTCGCGGAGTGGTCGTACTACTGCAGCAGAGGTAGTTGTCGTAGAATGGGCTGCCAAGGAGTAGCGGTTGAAGTCGCACCGGCACCAGCAGCGGTGTGGCAGTGAGGCGGAGGTGGTGCTACTGGTAAACTCGAGTAGAACCTAGCAGTAGCGGGATATATCGCACCAGGAGTCGACGTCATTCATCCAAGAACAATATGATGCTGATGCTGTCTGTTCGACAGATCCTTTCAGCTACTTCCAGGCTTCGGGTGATGCTCTAAACGACCTCGCAACTGCGGAATCCACTGTACTGCTCCACCCGATAACTTCATATCCCGATGTGAAACGCAAATAAAATATAGACAGCCTAGGCACTGAACGGGGAACGGGTTGCTGTCCCGTTTGAGCGCCTTGGTGTTCAGCACCTGGCAGTGCGGCTTACGGACTGCTCTCGAAGTGGCGCTCAGGATGATAGGAATTCCAGAGGCTCTACGTTGCCCGTCCGCTTTCGCGGATCTCGCACCAGTCTTCACCCCGAGATCCTCGCCTAATGGTATGCAGATGATAGTGATTGCGCCAAGAGATCAGCCCTGCTTGCTGAAGTGCTGAAGTTACAGAGAACTCTCTGCGCTAAAACTTAACACTTCCTCGTTTTTTGTAGGGAGGACAACAAACAGACAGAGAGAGAGAGAGAGAAAGAGAGAAAGAGCGCGAGAGAGAGGCAGAGGCAAAGAGCGAGAGCAGGAGCAGGAGAAGGAGAGAGGGACCACAGTTCAGTTGGAGAGAGCATAGCTAAGTCTTTCAGGGTTGAAGGTTTCCGAGCCATCCGCGGCTTGCACGTCAGTTCCAGTGCCTGCGGATCGAAATTGTGCATAAGAACTCCTCCAACAGGCTTTACACATGTCCGTCCGAAACACATGATTGGATCCGTCCGCATCCAAGGCACAGCCACGTAGCAGCTAATCATCACCTGCGCTCACAGCAGCTGTCAGAGCTGTGCAAGAGAGCTGGTCGCCGATGTGAATGTCTGAAAACTGAAGGCCTGCACAGCAATCTCCGAAGTTCAACACGCTGCAAGTGGCAGGCCAGCAAGGCCAGAAGCAAGTCTCCATGCCTTCCACAGCCGCCCGGAACTGAGTTATCTCAGGCCTTGATCAAGGCCAGGCAAACCCCGAAGGCGCTGAAGGTCATGGCTCCGCCCTTCGCCTTGCCCACCAAGACGTACCTTGGGAATGGGAACGACTCACAAGGAACAACGCGAATCTGGGAGTGGCCAAGACCAAGTGCACAAGCCTAGTTCTACGGCATCATGCTGACAGCAGGCTACCCTGAGCCCAATCGACTAGGACCCACAATACATAGAAGAACCCAAACCCGAGTCTTTGGGCTCTGCCTCTGATGCCTCTGAGAAGCTCCAACATGCCGGAGGAAGTCGTGAAAAGGATGAACCACTGCATCATGCTTTGCGCAGAACCTTTGCTTGGCTTTGGTCTGTGCAAAGACTGAGCAGCCGCATGCACAGGACGCCTTCAGCCTCTCCACGCTCGGCTCATGCGCACCTCACCCAAAACGACCTGCAAAGTCCAAGCAAACCCTATATGGACCAGAGCGATCCCCCTAAAATTACACTTGGAGAGATGAGCCATCCAGAACCCACATCAGCGTCGCGGTGATGATGAGCTTGGACTGTGAAAGCACCGTGTACGTGGAGGAATCCTTGGCTTGAGACAGTTCAAGATTCTGGAGCCCCCGAAGCCATCGGCAGCTCTGACAAACTTCCCAGGATCAGAATCACGAAATCGTTGCCCGGCTGTTCAAGATTTCATTTCTCCCTATATTCTCCCCCGAGCCCAACCTCCTCAAACAGTTCATGGCCCGTCTCCTGCAAAGCTTTCCCGTGTTCACCACTACATGTGTCTAAAACCTCTGAAGATGGCACTTCGCCCCATTATTTCGCAGCTCCAGGAACGATGTAGTTCACGGACTCCATCTCGAAGATGTCTCCCAAGGCATAGATCAAGCCGATGTGGAAGAAGTTCGTGAGGTTTTTCACCTAAACTCTGCAAATCATGTGGGAGGCGCTCAGTCCAGGGCGAAGAAACCAAGCTTCTACAGCTTCAGCACTCGCACTCGATCAAGCTTACAGGCAACAGTAGCCCAGGCCGCTGCAGCTGCCCCACTGGACCTGACATCCACCTGTAAAACCCGATGTAGCTTTGCTTCATCTATCTCATGAGGATCCTAGTGCTTCTGGTCTTTCATTCGTCTTTCCTTTGCTCTTGCCCCAGTGCCTCCCTGGACATGTTCCGAGCCTCACGAGTTATGAAGCTTTGGATCCCGACCAAAGTTCAGATCGGGGGGCATCGAAACATTTCTTCAAGTCCTGGGTCCCGCCAGTGCTGTGAGCCAACATCCAGCCAATGGCAACCTTAGCTCCCAAGGCAAAGCCCGGGCCCCAATCTGCAAACAAGATCAAGTGTAGCATCTTATTCCAGAATATGTTCCTCCCGGAAGCGCAGATGATTTGCGCGACGAAGATCACACTGGACACGGTGTACTTCGCCTTGGATTGGAAACGTGGCAAGATCAAGTTGACTGATATGCCCGCTCAACTACTGGGCTTCTGCATCTTGATCTCTGGATCGAATCCCTGCTACATCGTACGGATACGGCAGAGCCACCTTCTGAACTAAGGTCCTGCTCTGTGCAATCAGTACATCTTTGATGCGGACCGGAACTGTTGGCGGCCAGGGGTCATGTGGGGAATCGCCCTTGGCCCACTCGATGAAAGAGTTGTGGCATGCTCGCTGCACAGTCACCTGGGCGCGCATGTTGACGGAAGAAGTGGTGATGTGAATCTCGAGTTCTGCAAAGCTCAGGCACGTCAACAAGCAGCAAGTTTGACTTGCAGTGGACTGCAGAAGGGTTTGGTACTGAAGCACTAAATTACGTTATGTGCACATCAGGTTGCAGCAATGAAGGCCGCAGCTTTGGTCTGGACATCAGCCATCTGACGCAGGGATTCTCTGTGCAAAAACACCAAGTTTCCCTTGCCAGCGCATGACACAGAAGTGCCCGCCACGCCCGTGAAATCAGGCAAGGCGGATCGCTGAATCCGGCTTGGGAGACGATCACTTGCCTCGTCCACAGCCACGCACAAACAGAAACTGAAGTCGCCAGTGCTGGGAATCTTTGGGCCAGAACGCTGCGGCGTGTCAGCTGCACACACTGCTGCGCATGCTGAGTAAACCTACAATCAAGCTGGACCTGCATTGCACAAAGCAGAGAATAGGTGCGGAGCCCCTATAGCCCAGCTGCACCTTGTAGCCCCAAGTGTAGCTCAGCATGTAGGCGGCGCCTGCACCATGCAGGACTGCGATCGATTCTCACAGGCCACAAAAAGACAGCTCGTGTGCCGCTTGAGCCGCCTCCTGCATTCTGGCTTCCGAAGATGCTGTCGACATAAGCCGCGCCTAACCTGGCAACTTCCCAGAACGCAGAATGCGCAATCGGGACGCGCTCTGTCTGCTCTGGTTTGAGCTTTAGGGCATCTCCCGTGATCGGCTCCTGCCATCACGTGGGCATCGGACTGCAGCGCCCTTGGGCCGAATGATGAGAGGCCTGAGTTCGCAAGCGCAACAAGAGATCGTCTGTGCCTGGAGAGTGGGAGCCAAGAAACGGCTTGCAGTTCTCAAGAGCCAGACTTGAAAGCAGCCAAAACACTCAATCTCGTAGACTCGCGCATCGACGTGCAGGCCACAGCGCAGCACCTGCCGAGGAGGAGGCGATGACCTTAAACGAAGGACACCCGGACTCTCTTTTTGCCGAACTTTATAGGGGATGGCATGCACCACGCCAATGCGCAAGCCTCGGGTCGTGAGAGCCGTCAAGAGATACGGCGACTCCGAAACCTACAGGTAGCGCCCAGCTTGAGCGACCTGTGCTACCTAAACTACTGGCCCACAATGAAAAGCACCTACCCCAGGACGCCAGGAGTTGGGAAAGACAACCACGTCACGCTCCGAAAACAAATTGCCAAAGCCTAGCCGCCAGACCAGTACTGAACATTAATGAACCTGCACCCCAAACCTAAGTGAGAAAGCGGCCTCAGGGAGCAAGGAGTCGCGCAAATGCGCAACGCTGACCTCACTTCAACATGGGCTGACAAGGCTCAAACTGGCCTACCTCGTTTCGCCTGAATTTCGACTCCAAGCGTCTCCACGGAACTCGTGACCCAAACACTGGTCGAACAGGTAGTTGCAAAAGTCGGGGATGCGCGCCTCTCGAACTTCACGCATCAAGTTTCAGAATCTAATGGCCTGTCCAAATGCTGTCCAATCGATCAGCACACCTGCAAACTGCGATCGTAAAGCCCGAAGGAACCCATAGCAACGATACTAAGGCACAAGAGCAGCAACAAAAAAGACTACAGTACATTACAGTACATGAGCTCAACACTCAGACCAGGGATAAGAAAGGATCCTTTGCAGGGCCAGGGGCGAGTTCGCCATCTTCGGTTGGCTGACCGGCCTGAAACTCTGTGAGCTTAAGCGTCCAAGCTTCAGAAAACTTAGAGCGACGTCTTCATGGCTGTATGTATGTATGTATGTAGGTAGGGAGGAGGTATGTATGCACGTGTATGTATCCATGCATGTATGCGTGCGTAGAGGTACGAAGGTATGTAGGTATGCACATAGGTATGTAGGTATGTAAGTATGTCCGCCTGTCCGTCCGTCCCTCAGATCGTCCGTCCTTCTGTCTTTCTGTGTGTCTGACTGTTTGTCTGTCTGCCTGCATGTGTGTTTGCTTGTATGTGTGTACTTTTTCTTTTTGCCAGTTGCTGGTGCAGTTAGTACTACGTGGCACTACTTGCATTGTATCCTTTGATGCTGCCAGCATTGCTATCAACCGAAATTGAGTTTCTCGGCAGGCCCTCCTGTCAGAGACTTGGAGAAAATCTGACTCTACCTCCGAGTCTCCATCGCTCGTGAATTCGAAACACGCGCTCCGTCCGTTCAAACCCGTTGGAGGATGTTGCATGAGAACATGGCCGCCTGAATCTGATTCTGGCAGTGCTGTGGTGCAATAACACTGGCTGGGACGATACTTTACTTTCGGTCGAGTTGTGCCAGCATCAACATATTTTTCATGTCAACTGCTTGGGTTCACCAAGTCGTGCACGTGCTCCAGCAAGTCGTGCATGGTGTCATCGTCGAGATCTGGAACCTTTGCCAAAAGAGCAGACCACATCATCGTGCACATGATGTCAATGATCGTGTTACGCAGTGCAAGTGCGACCGATCATCCACGAACCTGCTTTGTGCACATCTGCATTTGATGCGGCTGCTCCACCAAACAACTACACAGACCTTGCTAGGCAAATTGAGTTGATGAGACATGCATGGCAGCAGGCAAAACCGGAGACTCCCTGACGTAACAGAGACTTTGAGATCGGATGCCCAGGGGCCACTCGCTGCAGAACTGCACGGAGCTGCGCAATCGTCAAGGCCCGCTCTCCTCGGCCAAGATGCCGTGGGCTCTGGTGACAGGTCGACTGTATCTCCTGGTTTCAGATCATACATCTCACATACTTGGATGTCTGTCACCAGGTTCGCATGACAAGCTTTCTGCGCCAAGTTCTACTTGAACATCCGACGCTTCTTTCATGAAGGACCTTTAAGAGAGTCAGGCGCAAACCGCGTCCCTGAAGGCGCGGGGAATAAAAGCCAACCCGGGAAAGCTTGCATAGAAAGCATGGTCTCGCTGCGAACTGCTGAGTTCTCCAAGCTGCTGAAGGCATGCAAGACCTCTGCAGCAGCCGCCATGGCTGCAATACTTTGGCGTCGCGACTTGGTCTTTGAGGTTATCCCGACCCGCTGGGCCTGTAGGCCTTACTCCAAGCTTGGAAAGCTTGTTTTCGACTCCTTGTGTCTTGTGCCATATCCACTAAGCGACAATCGTGGACAAAGCATGAGACATCATGAGACTCACAGCTTTACCGCCTTTCATCGTCAGAGCGAATCCACAGCGGCATAGGCATGAACGAAGCCAATAGCCACGCGACCACTGCAACTGAACAGGAAATGAATCTTGCCCAGTGCCACCCTAAGCAAGGTCTTACATTGAGCCGTACACCCTACACCTGAACCTGAGTCCGGCACCTCCTGTTCCGCAGCCGCCGTCTCCTTCGCGCCCGCTGATGATATGAAATTAGGATGCAAGTTGCTCAGGATACGCACTGAGAGCACACAGCTAGCTTGTACTATATCAGCCTACCCTGTCGCTCTGCACCCACGCATGCTATTGATTTCCCCTCATGCGTTGTGCTGATCGCGGAATTCAGGATGTCTGTATATGACAAAAGAACGCACACTTGCCGATCCTGCTAGGCAACTCCAAAACAATACTAACGAAAATCATCGGTATTTCCTGCGATGCAGCATGCAAGACTGCCTTGTTGAATATCAAAACGGCACGGAAGCTTGCAATACTACTTAGGGCAGGTCGAGGAATATGGTTTTTCTATGGGGGTATTGGTCTATGGAGTTTAGCTAGGGGTTTTTTCTATGTGGCGGTGTGTGGTTCTTCTGGTGGTTCCATAGTGCGGGTCTTAGGTTGGGCGTTTTTGGTGAGTTGAGGGTTGAGACATAGGTTGTTATGCTTTGGGTGCTAGGGGGTGGTGCATGGTTAGAAAACGGAAATGGTATTCACTAACTTGATCGTGGCGTCAGGAAGTGACACTCATGGATCTGTTGCCCTGCTACGCAACAGGAGGCAGTCTACCAAAGAGCAGAACGGGACCGGACCATGATAGAGAAGAGCCCTCTCATGTCCTCGTACAGTACATACTCTGTGGGGCAGAGGGTTTGGCCGTAAGGGCTCGCTCAGGTATCTGATCTGGAAGATGCCGCACTACGTAACGTCCTACCATCAGGATACACATGTCCCGCCGCACTTCACTGTCTACAATCAGGTACCGAGTCTGCCAAAGAGCTCAGTCTTAATCCCTAAACCCCAAACTCCTGAACCCTTAACCTTTAAACCCTTCCGAATCCCTCAGGGATCTTTCTTCTTTCGCAGCCACAATGAGAGTGAGTTAGGTTGTCTTGTTCTCGGACATTCTCTGACAATGGCTTAGCTCGTGTTTTGCTTAGGGCCTCTGGGATTTTAGTTGAAGTTCAAAACATTTATGCTTGGGTTGCTAGATTTCCACGCACCAACACCGTACATCCTTATATTAGGACGAGTTGGAGTCAGAACCCTCAAACACTGAAGCAGACAACGGCATCTATCTGAATCCATCTGGTGTCTGAAGTGCTGTGAACCTTAAACCGTGAACGTCTCAAGTGCTAACCCCTCGAGCCCCAACCCTTTATATAAACCTGAACTCTTCCTGTCTTTCTGCTCAGCATCACTCAACCATAACCACGCACACAATGGGTATAATCGAGTCTCGCCAAGCAGACTCCCATTTCCCTGCTGGCCTGCCGCTCGCTGTCCAGGCGTAGTGGGCCCTGCGCCAAGCGGGATCTGCCGGACCGCAACGACAAGTCAGACTCACTGCTGTGCCTGAAGTGTCTTTGACGCTGCTTCCGGAAGCTCCGCCGTGGAAGCCTGACAAAAGTAGGGGTCAGCGTTTGTTGAGGCGGACGTTGGGCAAGCAACTTTCCAATCGTTGAGGTACATCCAGCAGTTCAATCAAACTGCTGGCTATGAATTCCAACAGCTGGCTGCTCCGGGCCCATAGCATGCGAGCAGCAAAACCCATCAAGATCGCAACTCACTGGCCAAACAACTCCCGCCCGCTCACAACATCCGACGCAGGGCTCCTGAAAGGAGAACGGCTTCTGCACTCACCGAAACATAACGTGTACCCTGTACCTTTATTATGATGCTGAGAAAGCCTGCATCTCGAAACTCCAGAATTGAATCCCGTTCTTCTTGCCCTACATCGTCCTCCCCAAAGTTAATAATACAAGTAGCAACCCCTCCCAACCCCAAAGATCCCAAAAAAGTCCTTGGGCCCCTGTTTTTGAAGCCTCAAGAGCCCTTAGTGTGAGGGCCCGGCGGGCAAGAGCAGGACGAGGCTCTGAAGCCTGGATCCGGGGGTTTGCAGAGACTGGCAGAACTCCAGCATTTCTTGGATTTTTGCCGGTTCGGTGCACTCGGATTTCGGTTTCTTGTGCCTCATACTCCGCAAGGACGCGGCCGTAGGACAGGGTTAGACATGTCCGACTTCATAGCAGTCAACTGGTTCGATGATCGCAGGAAGATGGACAGTATAATGCCATCGCAGTTTCAGGGTTTACGGTTCTGTCTTCCTTTTTGTGGTGGCACCCTTGCTGCTTTTCGCTGCTTCGCCCGAGGCGACTAGTGCAGGAGGGGCCCGCCAATGTCTGAAATCAATCCCTCATTGACCTATCCTTCCACGGATCCTTGGAAGGAGCACACAATTAGTGTTCAAGCTTTGTCACTGCAGCCTGAGACATCTGAGTTCGCTTATCGCCAACATTCCTTACCGTGACCCTGCTGTACCCTGTTGCACTTTCGTCCCGTGCAAGGTACATGCCCGGAACCAACCCCGGCTGCTTTGGGCTAGGGGCTTTCAGCCGCAGAACCCTGCCGACAAGTCACGCGCTGGCCGTGAGATGTGCCGGTGCCGACACTGCTGCCGCCAGTGCTGCCAGAGGTGCTGCTGGCAGGCCCAGGCGCCAACTGCGGAATCATATCTCTCCCTTTTACATAACATCGGATTCGGTCTTGCGGCGCTCTTTTCGGGCATTAGAAGCTGCCTTTGGCGCCAAATCCGTGAGTACCGCCATGGACAGATTCGTTAGAAGCTTCAAGGACACGTTTTGCGAGCAAGAAGTTTGCAGTAGCTTTGCGTACGAAGGGGAAATGCTGCCTCCAATACTACCGATGCACGCATCTGTTCCCCGCTGAAGCTGTGAGAGCTGGTGTGAAACTTCGAAAGCATAGCGGACCTAGTTCTTGCAACATTTGTTATTGCAACATTTCGAAATGCAGAGACCTGTAAACTGTAAACCGAGCAGAACCCGCATTGCCCACTGGCAACAGCTACAGCAAAAAGAATCTAGAGCTTCTTCTCAGTGTCGAAACAGAATGGTCACGATCAATCGCTTCCAAATGCCCTGAAACTACTTTGATCCAGAGGCTTTTTTCTATCTTTTTCCGAAGCAGTCAGGCCTGGCGCAGCCCTCCAAAACGGCGGCCACCTGCATGACAGGGCCATGGGGTAGACACGGCCACTCCGGCTTTACCCGACATGCCTGTGACTCCGAACTTCACACCCTTGTCACAACCCTCTCTTTTCAGCCGTCTTGCCAGAAGTGACTTGCGCCGAGCTAAAACAGCGAGAGGCCACATCGTGCAAAGGGTTAGAGCGGTCTGAAATGCAGCTAGGTGGGTGGGGCCGTCGTGGCGGATCTCGCGGAACGCATTCAATTGCATCAATTTCCTGCGTGCCTCATACAATCTCATACACAAGTCCGGTCCTGTGCCGGGCGACTGGCAATTCATGGCCGTCAGGCCCTTTCGTTCGCCCCTAGGCGATGGGCAGAAACGATCCAAAACATGGCAATGCAGAATGAGGACCGAAGTCAGTCCACTTCTACAAGCAAGAGTCCGAACTCTCGTTCCTCCAGAACCATCGACAACGCTAGAAATCTAAGAAAAGCTAAAAGCTAGGAATCACTAATCTAAATGGCCTCGACTACCCTGTTCGGGTACGGAGGCCATTCCAAAAACGTGTGAGATCCACATGCCCATTGAGGGAAGCGATCTCTTGAGGCGAAGTGCCGCTATGATCTCTCTTGGAAACATCTGCCACTGCCTCAATGAGGAGCCTTACTATGGGGAGATGGGCATTCGCGGAGGCAACCCACAAAGGCGATGTGTCGCTTGGAGGCCTCGTCTGATCTAGATTCGCACGAAGCAGAACCAAGAGCTGCACCATCCGCAAGTGGCCTCGAGAAGCTGCGATCCAGAGTGCCGTTGCCCCTGTGCTCTTGTTGGCTGTGTTGAGGCATGCTTTGGTGTTGGCGAGATGTCTCACGATTTCCAGATAGCCCTGGCGGGCAGCGAACCAGACCGGAGAAGTGCCCGTGGCATCCAGGGCATTGATCTCAGCTCGCGCTTCCAGGAGCAAGGTTAATACATCCAGGTGGCCATTGCTAGAAGCAACCCAACAGGGCGACTTGCCTGTTCTGTCTGCCTGGTTAGTGTTGGCCCTGGCTTGCAGAAGCTCCTGCACGATGTCCAGGTGGCCTTCCATGGAAGCGCGCCACAAGGGCGAGGCCTCCTCCTTGTTGGCTCGGTTCTTGTTTGCCCCGGCCGCAAGGAGAAGGCGCACAACCTTCAGGTGACCTTTGCCACATGCAATCGACAGTGGAGTGTCACCTGTTGGGCTAACCGCATCCACGCAGTGGCCTGCTTCTACGACAATCTGGGCAACACTGGCGGAGCCCGTCTCACAGGCGATGCCCAAGATGGACATCCCACGCGGGTCCTTGCTATCTATGCTCGCGCGAGCCTCCAGCAGAAGACGTGCAGAGTTACTGCTCCCGGAGTGAGCTGAGATCTGAAGAGCGCTGCGGCCGTCTGGAAGTGTCAAATCTGGCTCCAAGGGCATTTTCAGGAGGCGCTCCATGTCCTTGTCCGCTTCTGCACAGCGGAGAAGGGCCTGAAGATCCCTGGCGTTCGCTGGGCTGAACCTGCCAGGCATTGGACTGGGGTGGAGGACCTTCACACAAGAAGCGAAAGAAAGCATGCTGTTCGCCGAGGGTCGGAATCACGACCAGCTGAAGGCTCGTGGGCAACTCCAGGTCCGTCATCAGATCAAACAGAGCCTTCCGTGCCGCTCGAAAAGACGTGGAGGGTTGGATGAGCTATGAAAAATCTCAGAGTTTTGCCCCAGTCCTCCTCGTCCTCCAAGACTCTGTCCTGGAAAATCAATCTCTGCCTGCATTCTGCGGCCAACGGTGAGCTCAAGGACTGCTTCTGGCGGGGTTGAAGACGGGCTGGTTGTTTTGCTTGTACTCGTCCCCCGTTTAGCTTTGTGACTCTTGCTAGATCAGTACTACCCAGGCGCTTAGGCTCTACTTGTTCAGCGAGGTGGTTGACAAAGAACGGCACGGATTTAATCCCTTTTGCAAAGACTGTCGTTTTGCATGTGGCCAGGCTGCCTGAACCTTGACACTGCGAGGAGCAAGCAGAGGTGCTCCTGCAGCAACTTGCAGCACAAGGCATTGTGACAACGATCAGGAAATCAAACTTGCCGATGCTTGCATTTGGCCTTCAATGCACGAACTGTGTCGCCGCGTGTCTGCACCATTTCTTGCAACTCCTGCTGGCGAGAATGCCTCTCCCTCTCTCTCCCTCTTTCCTTTCTAACACTTCTCATTCTCACCTCTAGACTCCAGGCTGCTTCGCCTTACGATTCCCTCTCCTGCACATCCAGGCAGGCTGCGACCTCCCCGTCCACGGAGCAAATGCGCAGCTCGCCCGTCCCAGCTCCAACACCATGGCTGTGCTGCGGGTATCCATGGTAGCTTAAACACGACATCTGCCCCAGGAGCCGCAAAGCCAGGGCTGCGGCCGGGCGAACCCCGTCGAAGGAACTTCGGAGACAGCCGCACCACTTCTCTTCGAAAAGAATGGATCTGAAGCCCTTCAGCATTTCATGACTTTGCGGCCCTGCGCATTGCCTGGTGTGGCTGAAGCCTCGGAGCTGCAGAAGCAGCCGCACGGCAAATGGCATGGAGCAGCTCTGCTGACCTGAAACATCTTCAAAATCATGAAGTGGGCATCACAGAGGAGCACCGGAACCGCGAGCAAGATGCAACTGAGAGGTGAATACGGCATGTGGTCCTCTTCTGCGCGCAATCAAGCTCAACGGCTCGGGCAGCGGCGCCACCGCCGCCTCCATTGCTGCGAGCTCACTCCTCAAGGGGCACGACGTGGGTCTGAAGAGGGACCAAGGAGCTTGAAAGGGCCAAGCATCGAAGGGCTCTTAGCCAGGAAGTCGGCTGCAGAAGGTCCAAATGTGACTGCACAGAGGCCCATCCTCACGAGACTCACTTCTTCAAGGGGCTGATGTCGGTGCATGATCCCGTCATGCGTGAGGTGGTCATGCGTGAGCTGCATCTGCGCTCATCTGCGTCGTGTGACAGCGACAGCCCCGTACCAAAGTTCGTCCATCAAGCCTGTACTGTAGCCCGCATGTCCGCCAGTCTCGACCCAGCCGAGCCCCGATTCCGACTCCCAAGTCGAGAGAGCATCGGCCTCAAACACCCAGCCGAGCGGCTCGAAGGGCAGCATGAAGGCCGCCCGCTTGCTCGCGAGCATCGCAGCCTCGGGCCACACGGCACACCACCTGCCCCTCGGCGAGCTGGCCGAGCTCGCCGAGCTCGCCGAGCTCGCGCGCGCGCGCCTCCTTGAGGAAGGCGTCCGCGTCCCTCACGCCGCCTCGCATCGCCGCTTCCGCGAGCTGCGCGAGATCTGCCGCCGAGGCCTTCGCAGCTCAACGCAGCACGCCTTCCGCCTAAAACCGCCTGGCTCCTGACAACCCGAAATACCCGAAATGCAGAGGTTCTGAGCCTCGTCCAGCGTGAACCTGCAGCAGGCGACTAAGGCCGAGATGTGTGCCGCATCATGGAAGCGGAGGGCGCTGTAGGCTTTGCAGACCTGCGGGGCATTGACATAACGGTTCATGTCCACCATGAGCGGAGCACTGGGCCTTCGCCGATAAGCCATGTTGCCAACTTGAGTGTTCGAAAGCCGCCGGGCCTTCGCCAGGTCTCTGGCTCGAAAGCCGTCGGAGGAAAGCCGCGCCTCATGGGGGTGTCCGTACTACACAGCACTAAGGACCCCCCGCCCAAGCCCAAACAACCTTCGCTTCAACAGAAGAATCCCCGTCGTGAACTGAACTCGGCTCTTAGTCTTTATAATCCTTCGCGCGAATCCTCGCGCACCCTCTGTTGGCCTCGAGCTGCGGCGCAAGCGCTGCGAGGAGCTCGCCTTCATGACTTGCAAGAACTTCTCAGGACTCCACGCACACGGCCCCGACCTTACAAGGACCACCGCACGTCTCCCTGAGGCATGCCACTCGCACCCATCAGGCAAGCATGTCATGAGAGCACCTTGCCTCGGACTTTTGTCTCACCAAAAGCCACGCTCGAAAGCATACAACCCGGTCGGAGAGACATTATTTACAGCGCCAGCCCAAAGCGGAAAGGGTCTCCAGAGAATCTCCTTAGAGGAGGTGGAGCAAAAGGCCCTTCAGGTACTGCGACTCTGGCAGCATCAAATGACCAGGATGATCGGCAGCCTTGCCAGACATCCCTTCGCTCCGCAACAGCTCTCCATGCAGGTGCAACCCCCGCGTGAGTCACAGCAGCAGTACAGCATGCACTGCCGCGCGAAGAGGGCGCCTGGCGGCTTGTGGCCGCCAGCCGGTACTCTCTCTGAGCCCAAGCCAGGGCACCTCAGGGAGCGATTTGCGGTCAAAGCGGCCATGCGCAAGCTCCGGCGGAGTCCGGAGTCTCTCTTTGCGCGCCAGGGAGCGGCTCGCCGCGCCAGAGAGCTCGCGCTCGCCTGAGGCAGAGGAGGCCACGCGCGAAATGAGTGCCAGGGCTGCTAGGGAAGCCTCGTGGGTTCGTCTCTTGCGGAGGCGCCTATGCTGTAAGTGCAGGAGGCCACGAAGAGCCAGCCCGGAGAGGCGCAGAGCTGCGCGGCCGAGTTCAGCAGCTTCCTCGGATCTGGCTTCTGCTCCACAACTTTCTCATTGCTCAGAGACTGAAGCTTGGAAGCCCAAGCCGCTCGTAGTGCCGAAGCGCCTGAAATGGACAAACAGGTGAAAGCTCTTTGCACATTCCGCACTCCGAACCACTCGCCGTGCCTTCGGTGCACCCATGCGATCCACTCCCAGGTTAGGAGGGTCCACAATCCTCAGTTCCAGCTCTTCGGGCGAGGAAAGAAATGCTAGAGGGGAGTGGGCAGCCACGAAGGGAGACACTCAGTAACAGCTCTGAGAGATCAGCTGGCTGAGGACCATAGAATGGGGTTGACAAGAACCGCGCGAAAGTCAAATTGCGCTTTTGCCACCAGCCGGCACGAGATCAAACTCCGTGTCGTCACCTCTGTTGGCAGCATCTTGCCCAGTGTGCTCCTGCACAAAGCGACAACATGCAAGCGCTGCAGGCTAGGGCGGTTAGGGTGCCGGGCTAGTGGTCAGACCATGGAGGGCAGGAGCCTAGATGCAGTCACTCCTTGCCGCACCGACCGAAGACAAGCACAAGCTTACAAGGGAGCCTGTCGCAGCTTGTGATGCGTCGTCTTCCGGGCACACAAAGGCATTTAGCATATTTGCTGCTGCAAGCGACGGCCAGCGAGTGCGGCTGGTGCGATTGGTTTGCGCCAGGCCACGTTCGAACCGTCCGTCGTCGAGCGCTGAAACAAAGTGCAAAAGACGTCCCAAAGTCCGGCTCCTGTAAGAACTTCATCGCGTCGCCCTGCACCTGCCTGAGTGTGGTTTCGTTCCATGAACTATTGGCCGCCCTCGGAACAGTTAGACTCAACGCGAGCTCCGGAGCCTGACCCGTGGCGACACGGAGTTCATCGCAGCGCTCCGCCGGCAAAGCTCCAGAGCGGCCTGGTGCAGGCTCAGATGCCGACTGCGAATGTGAACATTTGAGAATCTTGCACAGGCGGTGTGCAAACTTCTCTCAGCAAAATACAGCCGAGTGCTGACACAGGGAACAACTGTGTAACAAACTGCGTGCAATTAAGCAGGTGCTGCAGGCTGCTATGGAGTCTAAGGGGACTCCGCCGAACCTCGCTGCTGTCCACACAAACCACTGACTCCGCACCTCAGCAGAACATGCCTCTAAACCAGACCACTCGTGCTGCTGCTGCTGTAGACTGTAGTCTCCAATTCTGGACTGAACCATGGCACCATGCAAGATCTCTGCATGGAACCAGCAACGCAAAGCTCACCTCTGTTACCTGCCTTTCCCCAAGCTTGGTTTTGGCTTCCGCTCAACCGCTGCCAGGCGCCATAGTGCGCCAACGTGACGCCGAAGCCGCCGACCTTGCTTCGGCTCAGCAACTATAAAGTGCTGCGGCTGCCCCGTGTCCCTGAGATCAGGGTATGCTCCCACCTGTCCTCCTCGGTACACATCGAGCCGAAGTAGAGGAAAAGCATCTACAGGGCTCGCCCGAACCGTTTTGAAAACTCATAGGCAATTCTGATTCCGCTGGAGGGAATCTGCAATGACTCTTGTTTTGTTTTGCTAGAGCTGCGAGAGGAGCAGCTCTCGGGAGCAGGTCAGGATTTGCGAAAGATAGCATCAAGCGGCATAGCTGTAGACGTCCAGCACTCGAGGAGTATTCGCGACCAGAGATGCCAACAACGTCCGGTGGTCACGCTGGTCATAATACCAACCAGTCTTCTGGCCACTGAGAAGATCCTGGGTCAAACGTGCCAGCGGAACAGAGTGCCAGAACGTGCACAAGCCACTTCGGCACCATCTTTAACGGCATGAGCGGATTGACGACAGTTAGATCAACATGCTGCCAGGCATCGACTGCAAATGAGACGCCATTCCTTATCGTCGAGGACACATCCCTCTGTGCTGCAGCCTAACCTTTCTTTTGGACATGTCTTCGGCCCGGAATCATCCCACACAATCTCTTGGAGAAGCCTTCATGGGATTCCCTTTCTTGTGACTCTTTCTTAGCCTCCACAAGGGGCCAATCTTTCACCTGGCGTCTCCCGCAGCTCCGTGGGGCCCACGTAGCGGCCCGAGAGCACCTCCCGCCGCAGCGCTGCGCCCCTTGAAAAGCGAGCCGGGCTGCAGCCGTGAAAAGCAGTACGGTAGCATGCGCTTGGAGTGCAAGCTGAGGTCTCGAAGAAGGATCTGTGCTGCTGTAGATGTGCGACCAGGATGCTCGCGTTTCCGCCCGAGCGTGTCCTCACTCTCGGCTTCGGGGCGGGTGAAATCGAGACTTTGATACTACGTAGACTCTCTCTGAAGAGGAGACTATGGAATGCCAGCGTCTTGACGGATGATGACCACCTTGGGCTTCAAGACCTGCTCGGGGCGAAGAGCGCCGCTTAGCACTGCCATCGCCACACGTGCACAGCCGGAAGCACGGCCCAGACAGTCCTCCTCCAATGCATCGACAAGGGGCCACCTCGGCAAAGACTCTTGTACGTGCTTCGCTCTATATGGAGATATTGCAGAGCTCGCCCACCTCAGCATCGAGAGGTTTTGCGGTCAAGTGTCAAAACCAAATCCATGCCGGCAGCCGGCGCAATGACTACATGATCCGCATAGCCTGCAGTTGGTCAACACCCTCATGCTTGAAGAATGCAATACATGGAGCCTGCTTTCCGAAGCCATACACTCTCCGCGGTGCTTTAGAGCACTATCAAAGCACACAACATGCAAAACGACGAAAGAACAAATCTTGACCATATGGCGCTCCGAGCTGCGATCGATCATCAGGCCAGGGAGACCATCTGCCTGCGCCACCGGGCAGCCGGGCCAGCTTTTCCGCCCAAGTGCCAGCTTCGTGTCATGCCGAAACCATGTCTAGCACAGCGCTGCGCTCATGGTTCGGATCAAAACGAGTGGGAAGAAATGCGCCTCTCCGTGGACCAAGCGGTAGAACGGCTCCGGAAAGAGCCTCTGCATGTGGGATAGGTTTTTGATTGGAGGGATGTGCGTTGCCACTTGGTGCTGATGACACAGCTGCAACATTTCCGTGCATCAAAACCAACCCTGGACCTGGCATCGTGGTTTAGGGCCAGGGCGGGCCTCTCACGATAGGCGAGGCATTTCTGCAATCGCGCTGCGAAAAAGGCAGCGTCGATGCGCACCTCTGCAAGCAATGCATCGGGTGCCATCCTTTGCACCTCTCAAGCAATTTTAAATTCTGTAAAATTTGTGCGTCACAAATCAAGATACTCACGACTTGAAACAGCATCTTGTCAAGATCAGCAGAAGAGAGCATTGAAGCAAACTGTTTGTGGCCGGTGGTGAAGTGCTTGGCTTCAGTGTACCAAAGCCGAGATGCATATGCGGTGGTGCACAGCATGCGGGCTGCGATGGAACCGAGCCTTCGACTGCAGCAACCGTTTGCGCCAGTCCGTATTCACTGAAGGCATGCATACCCGTGAGTGCTTGTTGGTGATTGCAGTCTTCTGGCTTTGGGAAGACATGCGAATGCTTCGTGTTTGCTGCAACATGTGTCAGTTCTACACTCTTGTGCGGGCGGTCTTCCTACGCTGACCACTGTGACCCAACTCAAAACATGCGACCATTCTTTGACGTAGACTTGGGTCGTTTGCGAGTCGCAGCGCTGAGCATGTTTCGGCAGGGCACCCGCTGTACAGTGCCACCCCGAGCACGTCGCCATCCGTGGCCTGGAGCAAGGCACCGCGATCTCGCTTCGCCCAACCTACCCCAGCACCGGCCTCGACGTTGACGAGGCAAGGCGTAAAGGCCTGTAAAGCCTGCAGAAGGGGCATGCATTGACGACGACATCGTTCAGCACCAGGGTCATGCCAAGATCGGGTGCAGGACGACGACGGCTGCTTTCGCGTTTCGACGTGCTTGTTTCGCTTCACTTCCTGACTGATCCCTGTTTTTCGGTGGCCAACCTCCGGGTTGCGCACTGCCTTGGACGGCAGCCACGGGTAGCCTCGGCGAACTTTGGCCTCCGGACGACAGGCACTTCAGTCGAAGAGAGTTTGCGCCGCTTCCGCGACTTGCGGGCGCCTCGGCTCCTTCCCGGAGCTGCAGCGTGGGTCGCCGGTGCGGGTCATCGCCTCTGGGCCTCGGCCAAAAGGGAAGCGCCCCCCCCCCGACGGTGGAACTCCTCTTTTTTGGCGCTTGCGCCTGTAGCCGCTCCCTGGGGTCCACAGTGCTCGGCGGGCCCGCAGCGCCCGCTGGCCCGGCCGCAGCCGCAGGCATGGCCATCGGTGCATGTGGAGCGTCACTACCAGCTCTGTTCGGATCTCAGGTCTTGTGCTTTGGGAGCACTTCTGGCGTGATAAAGCCACAGCGATCGGAAAGATCATCGCTGAGCCAAGAGCTGCCGCTGGTCCCCAAACTACGTAGTTGGCAAGGCCATGGGAAAGAGTGAGGAGGAGAACATGCTGCAGATGTGGCCTTTTTTCTAGACGACCATGCAAGGTTCTGCATGTCGATCCGGCTGTTGGCCTAGTGTAGGACACAGTAGGATATCGTGACGCACCAAACCATTCCAAAATGACAAGATCTCAAGCCGAGAGCAGCTTCGCAAACGGCTGCATTCAAGCATTGCCCGGAACGGGCAGCTAAAAGGCCCAGCAAATGCTCCCGAAGCTCCCCGATTCGTCTTTGCACTTTGACTTCCGATTTCATCGCAGCCCTCAGACCTTTCCGTAACACCTTTCCGTTCCCCCGGCGCTTCTCTGCACCTCCTCGCAGCAGTCGAGGAGCCAGTGTGGCGGCCGCTGACAGGGCCCCACGGCCACGGAGTTCCGCGATGCGGAGCCGAAGCTCCTCTGACTCTGCCCGCAGCTCAAACACACACACACACACACAGACACACAGACACACAGGCGAACTGTCGGGCTATTTGAACTTTGGGCATGTTCTACTGACCTAGGAAAAAGTCCGTCCGTTTGTCTTTTTGGCCAATGCACTGCCAGCGTCTAAACACCGAAAATCTCAGTCTTGAGGTCACCGGCACACGGCTCAGTAGTAGGTCTTGCCACCTCCCCACTTCTCTGGGATGGTCTGGTTCCTTGGAAGGCGCGAAAGGTCTGAAGGCAGAAGGGCTACGAAGGCTGCAAAGTCGGATCTGCCGCCTCGGACGTCTTTCGCCTTTTCAGGTTGAGCCATGTCGAGATTTCAGCAGAGCTAGACGAGTTGAAACCCCTGTTGCGGTCCCGAAGTTGCAAGCAATGCAGTCCAAGGGCTGGTAGAGGATGTAGGCAGACATGTCATACAGGTCCTCCGAAAAGCGAGATACGGGATTTCTGGACTCGAGAGTTCACGAACAGTGCAAGCAAGCTTCCTTCGGACTTAGTCTTAGCGAGTTGCTGTCAAAGGTAAAAAGATTGCGAGACACTTGCACACGATGTGACAATCCCTCGTGATCCTGCTGCTTCATGGACCGCATCTTGGGCCAGATGTCACCGCCCTTGATGGATGGGTGAACTTCGGAGATGTCTTTCAGTCCATCGTAGGTCGTAGGGTTGTTCAGGTAATCCACAAGCCCCTCGACGCTGGCACGATTGGGCTGCGCACCGGACAACTCCTCAATGGCCAAGCCCACATTCTGGTTTGTGCGGGTGCCACCACCGACGTGGCAGGAGGCGCAGGCGGCATTGAAAAGACGCTTGCCACGCACCAGCTGCTCCTTGGTCAGGGTGGTGGTCTTGCCCTTGTCATCCACGGGGATCACCACGTCCTCCACATCCGCCTTGGCCGGTGCGCCGGAGATGCCCACCATTGCCAAGCCGAGCAGGGCACCGGCAGCGAAGCGAAGCAGGCCGTCCAGGGCGGAGGCAGGGGCCTCGCCCTCAATCGAGGCCTCAACGGCCGCGAATTCCGGGCTCCGGGTGGACTCCTCGCGCTCCCACGCACTTTCCTGGGCAGCGCCGCGAGGCGCGACGAAGGCGCCACGGAGGCCCAGAAGGCCCAGCGCAGAGCAAAGCAGCACTGCTCGAACGGCCATGGCAGGAACGCTGACCTCTTCTGAGGCGTCTCAAAAACTCACAAGCGACGCTTGAGCCCTGTGCAAGCATCGAAAGGCTCGTGTGCCGCTTGCCGCGCTGTCGCCTGCACTGTCGCAGAATGTCGCAAGCTCAACGAACAAACGTGCGTTGAGGCTCTCTTGTCTTTTCAACATTTTGCAACGATGGCTCCGCGCTGGAGAATGCACTGCAGCCTCCACTTGAAGTAACACACAAAAGCCCGATACTGCGCACGGCAGAGCTGCGCAGCACTTGGCCACTTAAACATAACAAGGCTCTATGGCTCTACGCACGTCCACATCAGTGACTGCTGCGTCTAAGGCAAAAGGATGAATACGCGTTGTCACCACATATCTCAACATTTGGAGCTTTTTCAGAGGCGGTGACATGCTAAAGCACTTCAGTATTTGTTGCACACGGTCCAAGCACTGTCGCAGCCCCAGGTCTCTCCCTGCCAGTTGCAGATATAGAACCTCGGATGCCCCTAAACGGCCACTTGGTCACACCTCTCTCTGACCTAGTGCCCGGATTTCTTGCTGTTGCCTCCTACTTCGCCAGGGCGAGCCTGCATGGCAGGGCGTTCAAGTCCGGATTCGGAAAACCGACAAACACAGAGGAAGAAGCCAAGAAGCCAGTAGTTGCTCTCGTGCTTGCGCTTGCAGTTCTGATCTCCCAAAGTGATTCCCCACGTGCGCTGCAGCTCCTGGCGGTTGTTTTTGCTTCAAAACGGAAAAGTCCGGATTGCACGCGGACTAGCAGAACATGGTGGTGCAGACGGCGCTGATTGCCGCGGCGGCTGCAATCAGTTGCTGATGCGGTTGCTGCTGGTGGTGCCTTCGTGCTGGTCGTAATTTCTTGGTGTTGCTTCGATGTTCGCCATTTGCATGGCGCAGTCACTCGCGATCGAACCATGATGAGGACGTCCAACTGACATCCTACAACGACTTCTGATTGGGAGAACCTGGGAAAGGAGGCCGAACACTTGCTCTAGGACCGCGCTGCTGCTCACGACCCCAAAAAGCACTGGTGGATGTGACACGACGCGCCAGACATGTATCAGAAACTGCGCTACGATCCGACATGACTCTCCTGTCAGCGCAAATCATCGAAGCTTTTGTTCAAAACCATATCTCCTCGGGGCTGACCAGGCACCCGATGATGGAGGGGTCCTGGCCTTCGGCGCAAGGGCCGATGACCGATGCTTCCCTGTCGGCCTTGGCCTCAGAAGTGCGAGGGAATCGACTGCATGCCACACGAGGCGCTGTCTGGTCTCAGCACTGTGCCTGCATTAGACGCGGAAGGCCGTGACTCCTAAATAAGACCCGCACGGCCCGGGTCTGCAAGAGCTGCGCGGAGCATTCAGATCCTGAAGACTCGCACTCGTCGTCAGAAATCAAAGCCGCATGCTTTGCCATGGCGAAGAAGGCGAGGCAAGAGGCCACTGCGAACTTGTGCGCAGTGGACATGGCGGGGCGGCAAGGCTCAGCACTGCCGGCACTAAGAACCCTTGGGCCCACCACGCGAGATGAATCATAGAGATGGGCTTTCTGAAGGAGACCCCAGCGCTCCTCTGATGCAGGCGCTAGATCGTCGGCCGGCAGCACTGCCCGGAGTCCGGAGAGAAACTGGACCAAGCGATCCGCCTTTGCAAAAGGCTGGCAAGCGAGACCCGAGCAAAGAGCCTCGGAGCCAAAGCCACCAAAGCGGAGAAAGTCAAAGGAGACTTTGCTGCCAGAGCTCGTCGAAGTAGGCCAGCCGGCTGACTCCCTGCCTCTGCTCTCCCACTCTCACTCTCACGGTTTCAGAATAACAGCAGCTTATTTTTAAACAAGGTCTGCCATGTGTAGGCTCTCACCAGCTGCACGCATGTGTGATTGGCCTCTCTGTCGAGCAGCATGCCCAGTCCGAGAAAGTGAACTGCCAAGCTGCATGGCAGTGCAGTACAAAGCAGAAAGCAGTGCGCTCATTCTAAGGCCAAAGAGCTGGAGCAGGAGCGAGGAGAGCTCCGAGTCCTCATGTCTCCTGAGTGGCGCGGGCTGACACTCCATCTGTTAATCCCCCAAACGCTGACAGTGCAACCAGGCAAGAAAGAGCAGAACTCCTCTTGCTGCTGTCGCTCGCTGTTGTCCATCGGGAATGGACGTGCGGGGAACATTCTGTGAGGACCCGTCCGTGTGCATTGCAGACATGAGTGCATTTCCAAAAGCCGCGCTGAAACTCGGCGCGGGTCCGTCGACAGCCAGTCTAGAGCTACTGCTGTGTATTTCCGCCTGGCAGACCTACACATCACCCCGAAACATCCGAAAAAAAATCCTCGCCGCTTCTTCCGCCTGGCGTCGCCCTGGCCATGGCCTTCACCAAGCGAGCCAAGTCCGGCGGATCGAAGCTCGCCAAGATCTCGCCCAGACATGGAAATCATCTCTCTTTTCATCCCGAAAGCCCGGCCGTGGTAAGGGTATAGTGGCCATAGTCGATGAAACTCGGGAACGGATCCTAGTCACTAGTCACTAGTCCAGCGTGCAGATCTTCCAGGGAATCCAGGGATCCCTGCGAAGCTTAGCATGCGATGAGCGCAAAACTGGACCTGGCGCCCACCTCACGTGCGCGGGTGCAGAGGCTCGGGAACAGCGCCAAACCTGTCGGCTGCACAGCGAAGACTTCCTACGCGTGACACTGGCGTCTGTGTGAGTGCGCGCACAGCCTCCGGGGTGTCCTGCCTGACTCTGAAAACTCAGATGATAATGTAGAACAGTGCGGTACGTGTGAGTTCGGAAGACTTCTGAAGCTTCCTGTGTCAGAGAGTGTCATGTGTGTGTGTGTGTGTGCCTGTTTGGTGGAGGTCGCGGCGGAATGTTCGGGTTCCCCCGATGTTCTCTGTCAAGCTTCTGCAAGGTGTCAGTGTGGAGACTGAGACGTTCAAAGCAGGTGGTATCGACCGGCAGGCAGACTACAATTCTGCGGCCTTCTCCGCTCTGCGAAGCCCTGGCGGCTGCACGGCTCAGGGCTGCGCCGTCGGCGCCGGGTGGTGGCAGCAGTAGGGGCACCGGGAGCTGAGAGTCCTTGCCGGAAGAGCCAGCAGAGTGGAAAACTCGAAACTGCCCTGCTCCCTGGTTTGCAGTGCAGTCTCCAGCAACGCCACGTCGGGTGTCAGGGGCAGCCTGGGCTTCGGCAGCGTCCTGGGCGGCAGCACCACCTTGGCTTTCAGTACAACACAGGCAGCGATGGACCTGTGACGATGTTGTCTTTGCGAAGGAAGATGCATGCTCATCGCATTCCGGCTCGGACACTGTAATCGCGGCTCTGCTGGAAGGACTCGAGCTTAGCGGCTACGCACTTACCAGAGATGCATGGTCTTGTTCACGATTTATGGGCTATCGGGAAAGCTGTTACCATCCTAAACAAGCACACCACGTGCATCTCGGCCTCAGAAATCGGAACCAACACCCGAACCACCCAGACATGAGCCAAGCTCGGAAGAAGCGATTGCGGAATAAGTACACGTGAGTCTGGACGGCCCCTACATAAAAAGAGGCGAGGCGTCGCGCTAATGCCCCTTCTACACTGGCTCTACATCTGCTACCTCGACGCTGCCTTTCAACCACTACCCCCGCCCCTTGCCCAACTTGCAGTCAAAGGCACGAGGTCGGGATTTCGACCTTCCTTCCTGGCCTGCACAAGCCCCCAGCCAGAGGATTTTCGGCACCACATGCTTGACCATCGTGATTGCAACACCAGCAGAGGCAAACAGAAACCCGCCACGCTCGCCTCAAAAAAATTACACTTCCACAACATCCGAAACGTGCTCAGAACCACAAATCCGAATCCGGCGTGCGAAGAATCCTTCGGGCATCTCTGCGCCTTTGACCTCAGTTTTTGGAGCTTTCGCGACTCGCTTGTGGTGAGGACCTGCCGTGCACGCACGCGCTCCACTGGTCGTTCTGATCGGTGTCGGAGGCCACATCAAGCTTCTTCCGGGCTCGGACGCTGGTCAGATTTCAACCTAAAATGAAGTGATGCAGGGCAGATTAGCCTTGGACCCTTCCTGGTCTTCGACCTGCCTCGCCACCAGGCGGGGCCCCACGGCGCCAGCCGCCCTGCCATGCAAACACAGGCTCACCTAATCCGGCCGAATGCTGACAAGGGAAGTCGAACTTCATGCGGCTCTTCCTAAACACGGAGGTTTGGGTTCCAAATCTCTGGAAAACACTGAAATTTCTGAGCCACTGGAAAAGAACCATTAGGTCTCAATCCTCGGCGCACCTGGACTTCCGTCTTCTCCGCTATCCCGCTGATGACCCACCTTATCAGGAGCACCTACAAAGCCTCACCTCTCGGATTGCTTCCTCTTTTTTGCTGCAAGCTTGCACGCAAGGACGCCTGGTACAGGTGGTTTGCCTGGAACCCTGCAACTAATTGTTGGACCCCTGTGCGAGATGCTTGCCGTGACACTCCTGAACTCTTCGCCGCGGGCGAAGTACTCGAGCCATGGCTTCTTCCAACGTCTCGCGACGCTGGAACTCATAACATGGCTGGTCGAAACTTCTAAGGACTTGCGACTGCTATGCAAGGTCACAAGCCAATCCTCCCCTGAGAGTCCATGTCCAAGCTCCACCAAAACTGTGGCCTGTCTACAGGGCTTCCCAGTCTCTCTCTGGAGAGAACGTCGCTGAAGGTTGTCAGATACATGATGTAAAGCTTGAGGGTTCTCCGTGCATCCTCTGGCTACGTTGCAAATCAACAACTCTTGGTCTCGGCGCAAGCCATTTCTGAGGCTGCGAAGCAGACATCAAGGGCTAAGTCAAACCAAGGCATGGGAAAGATGACACGCGCGCACAGGAGGCGCGTGCAAAGGAAGTAGGGGGTATGCACATCTCTCGGACACGAAAAACACCCAGCCACGAAGCGAACTTCGACAGCAAGCAAGCTCTGTGCTCCAGTGGTCGTTTCATGACGTTGCACCGGTCTCGCAGTCTTCTTGCTGCGGTTCCGCGACACACACACCTGGCAGTCACGCAGGTCAAGGAACACCTCACTTTTTGATGCATCTCTTCTCCCTCGATGACGTTCGACGAGAGATCAAAGCCCAGCTACAAAACAATCACACCTCCCCTGCGGGGAACCCGGCCTGTCCATCATCCCTGGCCCCTGGCAGGGAAGCTGTTGCTCGCACGATGTACACTTCGGATCTGGAGATGGCAGAAATTGCTGTTCGTGCCGGAGAGCTTGAAGCCGGACTATCCGAGGCAAGCACACATCGATGGGAATGGGCTGTCGATTCTTGACAGCTTCTTTGAACATGGCCTTGGATTGGGGAAACATCCCTCACCAACTGATTGCGGCCACACGGGATGAACTGCAAAGACACCCAAATCATATGCCAACAGCAGGCATTGCAGAGTCTACAACTTCTCTGCGAACTCCCCTGCCATCAATGCAGCCACAGCCACATGGGCTTCGCCCCACGCCTTCTGGAACCTGCGAAACTGGGCATCAACACTGGGCCATTATGCTTATGTTAGTGTACAATCCACAGCATCTCTGGCCCTCAAGTCGACAAAACCAACCAATCTTGATGCAAGCAGCTGCTTGCTCTTGTCTTGATCTCGCTGTCGTGCCTATCCACCACCAGACACGCACACTCAAGGCTGGAAAGTGAACTCACCATGTGCGACTCATACGGTGGTCGGGCGAGGTGGTCCTCTATTCCTTGGACGTCGATGGACGGCTCCCCTTTCAGGATCCTGCTCCACCACACCTGATAGCTCTCACCACACGAACGAAGGGGGCGAGACCGCGACGGCGAGTTGTCGCGTCTTGAAGAGGCCGGATTACATGGTGTCTGATTCCTATGCCCGGGCACGGTGCATAGTATACACTGTGAACATCACAGCGCGCTCTCGGAATCTGAGACCCACGCTGCCACGGACATACCCCCAGGCATGGCGGCCTCCGGAACCCGCAAGGACCCACCCCTTTGAAAGCCAAGGGCACCCCGCCCCCCCTCTCCCCCCCCCCGCCTTCCGCACCAGGAGACGCAAGGCACGCCGCTCCTGGCAGGTGACGAGCTCCCAGTCCGGGTCCTGTCAGAAGCTTCAGAAACCCCTTGATAGGCTTTCTCTTGCTTGCTTACCAAGGCCCGAGGGCGGCCTTCACTTCACTGCACCCAAGAAGAGTCCACGCAAGTCGACCCCGGCCCAGCCCCCCCCCCTTCCCCCATCTTGGGGGGAATTGGGCTTCGGGGTCACTTGGACGGGTTTGGGTTCAGCAGGTAGCGTGCGTCAGAAAACTTCCAACGCTTTACACTGGATCCTTAGACCCTCGACGGACACATTTCCTGCAAAAACCTACAGTTGGTAGCCGCCCCCCTTCATCAGACAAACCAACAACTATCTCCCTCTCCCTCTCACTCTCTCTCTCTCTCTCTCTCTCTCTCTCTCTCTCTCTCTCTCTCTCTCTGCGTCACACTGTTTCATCCTTTAGGGCCCCAAAACTTTGGTGCAATATTTTCTGACCGCGAAAACTTTCTCTGACCTCCAACAGTCTCTGTGCTGCTGGATGCTGCTGGCACTTGGGCTGGTGCTGTGCACCATGCATGGCGGCCATGCGGCAGTACGCCGCTATGCGATATTAGGTTCCTGCTGGAAACCAAAAAAACTCGGGGTCGAACATGCTTCAACTAGGACGAAGAGCGACCATCCAAGATCAAGCTGCTTCATCTACTTGTGGGACTAGGTCGGTTCTGAGATGGCCCAGGTTGGGTTTTCAGACATGCAACAATCGATCGGCGACACAAGACCAGGAATAAGATGACCCAGATCAAAGAAAAGATTCGAGGTTGAAAAAACAAGCAACGTTCAAAAGAACAGACGGCCCAGTATTTGTCTGAAGTTCCCCATGGCTCTGACTTCTGCTCCCCGAGCCCGGCCTCTTCTGGCGAAACCTGGCTTGACTGGGCGCATGAGAAGAGGTGCTGTCGACATCCGTTTTATCTTTCTTGTGGTGATTATGGCTGGTGCAGCTGGCTTCTACCGGCATGGACCCGCGATGCAGCGTCGCACGCCAGATCCCCCCACTTGATTTAATGTTTGCGCACAGCTCGGGAGCAGCCCACAGGCCATCGGTGCCTTGAACTCCCAGTCGCCCTCCAGAAGCGTTTGCCCAGCGCAGGCGATGCGCAGACGAAGATCCGAGACCTCCACCTCAGGCGGCTCAGGGCTTTGGGGAGGGCGGCGGGGGCCCGCATTCGTACCCCCACTCCGGAGCCTTGATGTCCTTCGCTTTTGTGTCCGGCGGCACGAAGAGGTTGATCTCCACCGCCTCCTGCGTCAGACGCCATGGCACCATGCAGGGCTCTGGCGCCCCCTGAAACCCCAAGGCAAGCCGGATGCCTTCGTCTGGGACCAGATATATCTGCCCTCAACGGTGCCGCCTCAGCAACTTTAGATCTACAGGAAATTACGGAGAAGATGGAGGTGTCAAAGGTCTTGACCAGTCCGCTCTGTGCGATCACAAACAGCGAAACCCCCATTCGAGGGGCGTGCCGTTTTGCTGCGGGTCCGCCTGAAGACAAACTCAAATCTAACCTGATGCTGCACATCAAGGCACACACACAAGAGATCCGATCGGTAACTCTTCGACAGCCCCCTACAACAGAGGGCTCTAGATTTGAGCGTCCTCTCACCGTTGTTTTTTTCGCAAGCTTTGGGCCCTCCCTCTCAGGCTCCTGCTCCTTATGACGGCGGGGTCCAGGCTGGCTCTTTGCTGCTCTGGATTGGCTGGCTGTTCTTCTTGTAAGTCCTAGGATCCTTCAGGACCGAACAGATTGCAGGAGTATGTTTAAAGAGTGGATTGCAAAGTCTGGCTGCTGAAATCTAGAAACAGAAAGGTGCTCTCGCAAGAACGGCAGTTTCGCCTTCGCGGGCACGGCACGCTGGGCTGTAGCCACGGTGGAACCGAGCTGCACCCGAGCAGCCCTCAGCAACTCCTGCGTTTTGGGCAGTCTGGGGATTTGATATCGGGTGCAGTGCTGACGATTGTCGTAGTCAAGGGGCAGCCGGCCTCAACACCTGGGCAATTGCTTCCTCCCAGGCGCATGGCCTGTGAAAGAAAGTGCGATATGGATCGTGGGCAGAAGCCGCAATCACTTGGAACTTCGAGCACACGGACCCTCAACAGACATTGAAAAGTGTCACCCATGCTTGGCGGAGTGATCAAACTTGTCGCACTTCCGAGGCCATTCCTCGTCCGGAAATCATCACAACTTCTTGCGATGATCAACGACTGCAACTCAGCAAATCTCAGGCAACGCAGACCAGGTCGCACGATCAGTGCGCTTTCAGTGTTGTGTCTCATCCGGCTTAGAGTCCTGAATGAACAAATTTAAGGGAGAAACTCATTAACTTGCTGCTTCAGCTCGTGCCATCTTACATCCAGAACTGGAGCATTGCGCAGAGCGGCCGGACGGTACATTCCGCACAGGCATCAATGTGCCTGGAAAAGGTGACAACACATGCAATGAAGACGCCTCAAGTGAAGAGACCCCCCCGGCGCCCTCATCCTCGAGCAGCCGTGCTTTCTCCAAGCCTTCTCAAGAAGACGCACTCCCTCGGCAGCATCTCCATTCCTGCACAGGAGTGTCCAATGCGTGGAAACCTAGCCTTGAGGCGAGGCCCGCTCTAAGATTCTTGCCGCTTTGAACAAGCTTCCTTGCAAGACTGATACGGATGCCCCGCACTCCTCAGGGCCCGCTCGGCCAAAGCGCGGCACTGGAGAACGTCCTCAGTCGAACGGCGCTCCTTCCTCCCCGAACCTCTACGGCCAGTGTGTAATTCCTCAGCCTCCGAGACTGTCTATACTGCTGGCTCCACCTCACAACGCCACAGCAAGGCTGCAACCCGCGTAGAGATCCAGAGCACCAGGCTTCGCAGGATGCTTCGGCTTCAGGCCTGGTACCGGGCCTGGTGCCTCGGGGGCGAAGTGGGCGTCCGGGGCTCCGCACCTCTCGCCGGTCCTCCCCTGGCTCGGCGGCATCGTCCTCGAAATGCACTGAGACGTCACAACAACTTCTGAAGGCTTTCTGCCACACTGCCTCACTTTGCGCGGGTCCTTGCACCCTTCGTATGATACATGTTCCCCATCCCTTGCTCTCAATCTCCTGCACTTGCCTCTTGCTCTCAGGGTGTGATGAAGAGACTAGCTGCTGACTAGCTCCTCTGTCTCGAAGGGTTCGTCGTCATCGTCAACCTACCGCCATTCACGAAACACGGGCAATCAGATCCGGATCCATCGCAGGGGCCTCCATGTCGACATCCTGTGCTTGCGCTGCCTGCACCTCCTTGTGCAAGCTACAGGAGGAGAAGACGGAAACTGTCCACAGCAATATGTGGTTCCCTGCTCTGCTGTCGTTGTCGTGGTTGCTCTTCAAACTATTGCCTTTTCTACATCTCTCCTCGCGTCGCCTTCTGGAAAGCACCCCTACCACCTGCATATCTAGTCTAGACTATTGAAACGCACACTCCATGGTGCTGACACATCCTCACGGCGAGACAGTCCGTGATACTCCAGTGGCCTGGCGTCCGATCGTCACGGTCTGCGGAGTGTCGAACCTGACATCCGAACTAACCCCGGACGTGCCGTCGTTCCTCCTGCTTGGCTCTCTGCCAACAAAAGGGTCCTCTGGACTGCAGCCCGGGCACTTCGACACGTGAGGCCGGCGTCGCTCTTCATCATCACTGACATCCTAAGCCGGAAAGTCTCGCCTTCAGTGACGACACCACCACTGGAACTGAGGGTATGGCCAGGTCATTCCATTTGGAGTAATCCACCATGGCGAGGTTCAGTACCGCACTCTCTGCGCAGCTCGCCCTGCTTGTACTGTGGTCTGTCTGTGGTTTGGTCTGCAACTTCTTGGGTGGTTCCTACCTGTGTTTGGGGTCGCCCGGCTCTCGACGCGAGCTGAAGAACGAGGCGTTCCAAACTAGGCCTGCTGGACCGGGCCCTGTGAAGTCGACTGCAGCCCGACGGTCTTTGTCCGCGCGCACCCCCACATCCCCAAGGAGGGATCTCCAGCTACCGATGGCCGATGGATCCGATGGCTATTGCATGGTAGCTTCCCTCGACTTCCTCAAAGACACCCTCAAAGCCACCGGCAGCAAAGAAGCGAGTGCAAACGTTTAAACTCCGGGAGGTGTTGTCCCATACCGTGTGACCGTAACAGCCGCAACAAGAATCACATCCAACGCCTGCACCTGACAGCGGGACACGTCCTCCTCGGCACGACTAAAACCTTTGCGAAGCTGTCGAATTAAGGTCTGTGCTACTGCGGCTTCTGTGAACAACAGGGCATCTTGCAGGCAAGTCGGCGTGCATAACCTTAAGGAATACATTCCGAAACTGGAGCGTCGACTGGTTGCCGCTGCGTGCCCTGGTCGCAGCCTTCTTCCTACACCTCCGGGGTGAAACTGCCATGAATCCCTCTTTACAGGACGCGGACGGGACACCAAAAGGAGAGCCAAAAAGCAAAGCAAGGGAGACTGATGACTGATATCAATCTGAAGATCGGAAGCTACGGCGGCTGACGACTTGGAGTGCACTGTCAAGCTTCGGAGCCGCTCTGCTTAGCGCATCCGTGCTGAAGGGCCATGTCAAGCAAGCACCGCTACGCTCTTGCGCTCGCCTACGCTCTCCTATGCTCCGCCCGGCGCCGATGCTTACGCTATGCCTCGACCCAAGACCGGGAGGTTTCATCTGAACCTCCTCCAGAAAGCGCACATCCAGACTCAAGTCAGCCTGTTTGCCGCGACCGCGCCCTGCAAGGAAGACAGCTGCTACTGGCTCTCGGCAGTCCAGCTGCACGTTTGCATCGTTGTTTGGCGAAGGTGACAGAAGGAAACCAACCGAGAGCCAGGGACCGCGAGACAGCGACGCACTTGACACTAAGCAGCTTGCAAGAGAATCGGCAAGCCATGTGCCAAGAAAGGGCTCGGGAGCATCTTTGCGAGACTTTGGGCGACTGCCCTGAACGGCAGTCGGCCGTAGAGCAAACACAGAGTAGTCCATGAGCAGGTTTCGTGGATGTGCCGTTCAGGAGTGTTCACATGCACTTGTGGCCCGGTGCCCATAAGCAGAAAAAGCTTGCAGGAAGCAGCTGAGGAGATCTCGGTGCCTCTGCATTAAAATATGCTAGGGCTCGGGTCCAGGCGAAAAGATGGGCTTCAGCTTTGTACCCCATCTTCTCCTAAAGCCGAGGTGCAGAGCAGGTCGAAGCAGTTTGTCAGAACTACATCCTGGCACCTGGCGCTGCCTTGCGCTGCACCACTGGCAAAAAGTCGAATTATCATCCTACTGCCCGAGCCGAACCCACCCCCAACCAAGCCCGGCATACCCGCCATAGCCATAGCCATAGCCTCTCTCTGTGGAACTCGGACTGGGAGCCCTTGGGGTGATTCGGGCCACGGGGCTCTGCCATCTCCGAGAACAGGTGCCCGGATTGCTGGAAGCTCTTAGGCTCACAAAGCTGCGAAACAGAGGGAGCCGGCGCGATACGGCTTCTGCACAGTTCGTAATCAGGTTGCACTGTTTGTTTCCTCGGCAAGAGCTGTGCTGAACTACCTTCACATCCCTCGAAAGCGCACGCTCAATGTCGCGATGTACTTCTCATGTCTGATGTTCCCTGAAGCTCCACCTGCTGCTCTTCAGAATTGAAACTCTGCTAGTTGGGTTCAGAACTCTGTTGCAAGGAATGCTCCTAGACAGTCATGTCAATAATAAGCTCCAAAAACTATCGATCTGCAGGATGAGAAGTCTACTTTTCCAGCATCAAAGGGCTGTGTTAATGGTGGTGCCGGCAGGCTCCCCTCGCGACCTTGGCTTGGGTCGTTTTACGTCCATGCGACGCGCGATTCGTGGTGTCGACGCCGGTCCTGCCGGAGAAGACCGCATTGCCGCCCTTGCACACCGATACGACTATATGACTGCAGGCCTCGCGTGCCAAACAAATCAGTCTGACGTCAGCAATGGACTGCTCTGATCCTGATGCCTAACGTCCCCCGCGTTGGCTGCTTCCGAAAACCTGAAAGAGCCTCAAAGCTCTGTGACCGCGCGCTGCGTCCTTGACTGGCGGCATGAAGTACTCACAGCCTGAGGACGTTCGAGTCTCAAGTCTCGGGCGTGGCCCTGGGGCTCCAAGAACTCTGAGGCGACGGGCTCAGGAGCTCGGTGGCTGTCGGCCTGGCGGGCCAAGAAAGCCTCGAAGGCCTCAAAGGCCTCAAAAAGGCCTCAAAGCCAAAGAAGGCCCGTAAGAAGGATGCAAGTTCGAGAACTGCCAAGAAGTTCCCCTCAAAGTAGGCCCAAGCGCCCACCCTTCCGCCCTGCCCTGGCGAGCCTGAGATCGGCAGATCGCTGAAGGCAGCTTTGAAGCAACGCCAGGAGCCCCGAAGAGGTGCCGTCCTTAGCTCGCACTTTCTCCTTCCGGTGAGAGTTTCTCTGCCCAACCCCAACTGCGGCGGAGGAACGGGGATGGGCGGAGTATCGGTCGAGTAGCCAATCTTCCTGTCAGTGTGTAGCGGTGCTTGAGCGAACATGGCTCGTACACGGCTTACAGAGGCAGAAAACAGCCGCATTAGGAAAGTCGAGGGGTGTCAGAGGGCGCATGGCATCACGACTCGTAGCCGAAGCTGATCAGTACGTGGATGCCAGTGCAAAAATCAATAGTCGACAAGCAAATCCCGGTGACTGAACAACTCTGTCACAGCCGGTTCAATGCGTACTGTTGCAGCATGTCCCAAATCAGCGATGAACCTTTCCACCATCAGCACCTTCTCCATGTACACCATAAATATCAGTGCGCCGGAAACATTGATAGGACAAGCATAGTTCCTGAAGAAACTGTGGATTTCTTTCATTTACATCAGAGATCTCCAGTTTTCTTTATGGACACTGAAAATGTTTCTGCAATCCAGGATTCAAACACTCTAAACAGTGCTAATACCGGATATGCTCTGAGTAGTTTCAGAAGGGTATCGACGAACAATCGAGTCATCTTGAATTATACTAACAGTTTAAACTAATACCCTGTAAAGCAGACTGGCATGCCATCCGACATGTGAATGTTAGCAGCCAGTGATGAAAGCTTCCTCAGTGTCTCAAAGTCTTGAGTCTCTTCGGCCTCATAGCTGCCGGAGCGCCATCAATGGCACCTCAACACTGCGGGTGTCTTCATTGCGAACTCCAGTCTCCAGGCCTTCCATTGAAACCCCTCCGGCCTTTGCCCCAGGGAGGCTCCGCCGTCATGGCCTCCAGGACCGTGCAGCCGAAGCTCCAAATGTCCGCCTCGATGCCAGGGGTGCGGTTATTAAAGTCGGACTCTCCTCTCCTGTTCGGATTCACCAAAAGCACAGCCCTGTTTCATCTGCCCTGCGCCTTCCGCCCGAACCCGGTGGTCCCCAAGACGACCTTCACGGGGCACACGAAACCTCTCTAGCACAATCTTGGCAAAATCCAACCAAAGTTCCAACAGAGTTTGCATGCAAGACAAAGACAAAGAAGTATTGCCTCCCTTTTTGGTCACGAAGCAGCACGCAGTCAGGTGGTCTTGAGGACAAGGCAAATGGTCCCGCTTCAAAAAAGCAGTCATATAAATTATGACTATGAGATGCGATGACTGAGTATCCTCCGAACCAGAGCAACCGTCAGGTGTCTGGCGTCTTGACCTGTCCTCGCAAGGCATTCTTGGCAAAATGCAACATACAGCCGCTAAGAGCGGACCGAGTTGCCGGAGACTTCCCTGAAGCTTGCAACCTTCGCGGTCTTCAAGCTCAAGGGACACCACACACCACAGGCAATCCTAAACCCCCAAAACCCGAACCCGTCATCCTGAACCCAACTTCTGCCTCTGATTCAAGAGTGACCTCCAGTGTTCCACTTGAGGATGCTTCTGCCAAACATAACGCAGCCGGAATCATTCAGCATGCAACTAGCAGCTGGGATCATGCTGCAACCACAAGAGACTCGGATGAACCAAGTATTGACAGAAGGACAGGTGCTCCGCTGTGGTAAGACCGGGCCAAGTATCTACAAGACTCGCGCTTTGCAGAAACTCCTTTCCTTGTCTTGTCTCGTGCACCTCACATGCATCGTAAAGGGCTGGTCCAAGACAGCCCATCCAGAAGGCGCATGTCGGCAGGCAGAGGCTCCGCACAGACTCCGTGCATGTAGCCAGCACCCAAAAGCAGGGTTATCAGTACCAAGGAGAAATAGGTGGCCGGAAGCATGAAGGCGGCCACCTCCCACAAGTCCAAGCTGCCAGTGCCATGCAAGGAGAGCGGTGGCGAACTCCACGTAACTCCAACCTTGTCGATGCACAAGAGCTGCCGTGGATGCAGGATGGGATGTGCAGCATAAACTTCAAGAAGAGCTTGCCGCCAGTAACTGTTCGGCCGCATCCTGAAGCTGATCACAAAGTCCTCGATGAGCTCCGCAAGCACAGATGTAATCACGAGGCATATGGACTCAATGTTGAACACAGACGTGGCCCAATTGCCCGAAATGATATCCGCCATCAAAAACGCCAGTACGGAGACATACTGAGCATAGCCTGACCAAAGCTTTGCCTCCTGATGCAATACCATGCCGATGCCAGGGAGCCACCACCTGGCCAGGCATGGAAAGAAGTAGGTCAGCAAACTGAAGGTGCCGTAGCTGCGCTCGAGCAGATTCACGCTAAGGTTCAGCGCAATGTTGAGGGGCCACCACCATCCACCAGCGCACATGGTAACCTGCGCTCTTGCTCAGGAACGAGCTACCACCTTCTGTCATATATAGAAAACATTATGGAAACGTAACTTAAATTCATCTCCTCAACAAGAACCCAGGAACAGAGAGCAGGCTCACAAGGCGTGCACTCTCGCAGAAGGAGTGCGTCAGTGCAACCGGCAGCATGAGATGCTTCCGCTGATCGCCTAGGATTCCCTTCCCATCCGGCCGCGAGCGCACATTGTAAACTAGGCCGGTGTAAAGCCAGGTGGTCATGCTGCTTACGAACTTTTCTGTCAAATTCGTGGCCACGGTAAGAAACACAGCCGCCCAAACCCTCGAGTAGCTCTCGAGGTTCATGAACAACATTGAGACAAAGCACAAGAGTATCCAGCTGCCAAACGTAAAGAGGATATGCGCACAAGTCCAGAGAACGTGATTGAGCTTGTGAGCTGACTTGGTTGCTTTGCCGCTTTCGCTGTTATCAGGGTCCTCCTTCGAGGAAACCTGAAAGCGGGCACAGCAAGTGTACCACACCGCATGAAAGACTACCGAGACAAATGTGTAGGCGACAGTGCCGACAAAGAAGGCCGAGAAGAGCGGGCGGTAATCTCCTGATGCCTGCCTTGACCAGATGAAGAACATAGAGAACAGGACGCGCGCAGAGAGCCCCCCAAAGAGGCGCATTCCCAATGGGAACTTGGTGCCAGAAAGGCAGTTCGCCCAATAAACGTAATATGCCGAAAAACCGTATGGGAAAAGCCTCACGGAGAAAGTGCCACGCCACCATGGCAATTGATCTACCGTGTTCGGGGTCTCAAAGACACGCATGGTCCAGCAGTAGATGGTCAAGTGGACGAAACTGTACAGGCAAGCCCAGAAGCAAGTCCTGGCACCCGTTGTAGTCAATGGCTTCGCGTCCTTGAAGTGCACGCTCACGTCCAGCTCATGTGCAAGATGCATCGTGTCGCACGCGGCCTTCAGCTGTCCACCAAAAGCTTCTCCAGCAAAGACAACCGCACCACACATGGACCAGAGCTGCGTGCCATCCATCTGTTTAAGAGAACCGGCATCTGCTCGGTCCACAACAGACATGCCCGGCCGCCCGCAAGTCGTCTCCGATGTAGGATCTCTTCGGCCACAGGTCCGCTTCCCACAATAATCAAGTTCAGATCCGGCAAGCTCACAGTGACGTTCTTCCCGGAAGTGAGCAGCCGGCCGCAACTGTCGCAGCCTCTCTCCTCCTCGGACTCGCCCTCGCCTCCCTCGCCTCCCTCGCCCTTTCGCGCGGCCTCCTCGGGCCGAAGTTGAAGCTCGGCCCAGGATTTCATGTTACGGAAGGAGCTCTCATTTTCTGGGCTCCTTCCCTGGTCGCTGCAAGGCGAAGGCTTGCGGAGGAAGATCTGAGGATTCTCCCCGGGGGACTCGGGAGCAACGGCAGTGAAGCAAAGGCGCGCGCTGCGCGCACTCTCCGACCGACCAAGGCATTGTGCCTCCATGGGCGGCCGTGGTCGAAAGTCCTTTTGAAAATCGCGGCCGCCTTGGAAAAGCAACCTAAACCTAAACGCAACTAACACATAAACATAGTCTGCCCATGCCTTGGGCATCTCGAGCAGTCTTGACTTGAGCCCCCAGCAGGCCGCAAGCACACCGTCAAGTCAACTGGAAGCTCAGCTTACGTCCCGGCACCCACATGTTTCGGTTTCAGGACTTCAGGCCTTGCCTCCGGCGCCATCCAAAGCAGCGACCCCGTAGCTCGGAAGGTCGTCGTCAGGTCCTTTCGAAAACCTTACGAAGCCTCACTTCCAAGTCTTACGTCTCAAGGTCTCTCGCTCCACCGTCGGCAAGGGAGGCCTTTTTTAGTACTGTTTAACTTGTCCAACAAAGCAGAAATCTGCAGCACTCTGATGCGCTTTGAACGATGTGAACTCTGACGGAAGGCAACATAACCCGAATGCAATTCCTGGACCGGCATTCCATTCCCTGAAACGCCAACAACTGCAAGCCGTATTCTTTAGACTTCTTCTGGTCCATGCGACACCTGACAAGCAAGCATCACTCACCCTCCGAACCAAAGCCATAAACCCCGAACCCAAACTCAAACAAAATCGGTCTCCTCCTGACAGCGCTTGGAGCAACCGAAATCTGCCAGCTTCACGTTGAAGTCCAAATCCAAAAGCCTCAGATGGACAGCTACATATACCTAAGATAGGTTTGCAAATATACATACACATACACATACACATACACATACATGCATGCATATGCTTAATGCATGTATTGGCTTTTGCATTTTGGCCTGTATGTATGTACTACTATGCGTATGTGAATAATATATATATATATATATATGTGTGTGTGTGTACGGACTCTTAGCAAGGCTTGTGCCAGCGACGGCAGTCTTGAAGCAAACAAGCCCTGAGGCAACCCTAAAGTGCCAGGCAACACGTTCGCGCTCTTGATGTCTCTGTGAACGACAACAGGGCTTCGGGTGTGAAGGTAGGCCAAGCCTGCCCGGAAGGCACTAAGAAAGGTAGTCTCATGGAGATTCTGCCATGAGTCTGAAGGGCTTGAATTGGCTTGGCATCCAGCCTTGCAGCATTCCCAAAACTGTATTGCGGAGGAGTAGTCCTGCAAAGTTTCAGGTGAATGTTGGGGGCGCAATGCGGACTTCAGCAGATTAACTTCCCGGCAACCGCTCACTGGGATGACGGCCAACATTTTTTCCTACATCTTCGGCGCAACAACAGGATGCTGAAACCCTTCACATCGCTGGAGCGGTGGGCACCGCAGAACCCATCACTTCGCGGCCCGGCGCAGGGAGCTCTCGCGCGCGCCTGTCCCACTCTCGGCTGCTCGCAGACATGGCCCCGTTGCAGCCAAAGGAAGATGCAGGAGGCCGGAGGACCGCACACTCTTGATCGAATGATCTCAAGAGTATTCGGAAAGGCCCGTACCCCCTGCCTGGAGCAGCTCGGAGGTAATTCACAACAACTGAGCATACAGTCTGCCCCGCACTCGAACCCCAAAATCGGAAGCACTGCAATGGGCGGGTGCAGGCAGAGCTGCCGCATCAAACTACCTCGCAACGCGCAGCAGCCGCGCATTCCAAGGTCTCAGCCGGCATCTGTACAGTGCCCAGTGACAAAATTGCAAAACTTGCTTGGGCTGCTGCCTGCCTTCAATTTCGGGGAACCTCTGGTGTTGTTTATCGACATCTGTCTTCCCAGGATGGGAGGCAACACTTGAAGCATGGCCAGCCAATTCTCGGACGTTGGGTTCGGAGACCTCGAATCCCACACAGCCTTCTGGAACAAAACTGAGAACAACGGAATCGACAGTCTAGAAGGCTGGTCTTGGGCTGCCCAGAACTGGATCTTTGAGTTCTGGCAAAGCATGTGAAGTTGCTAAAGCGCCTCCAGTGCCTGGGTGCTTTCCTGAGGCTCGAAAAACCTGCTGCACAACTGCAATGCTAGCACGCCAAGGCCGGGGCAAGCGGCTGAATGCAAGCTGAGATCCTAAACTACTGCGCAGCTATGGCACCACACATGTCGAGCAGGCACTGCGAACTTGTGAACTGCCCCCATGGCTGACGATGCACCTGAACTGCCGTAGCTACGGCAAGAGCCGCTCTTGCGACCCGGCGCCGGGTTTGGTTGGCAGCTCTCCGGCCGGGAAGAGCGCAAGGTGGCGACGAAGAGACAGCGTCATCAGGATGAGAGGCAAGCTCAGGAGCAGGGACAGCCTCACGGTAAAGCTGCAGGACATAACACGCTAGGGACAGTGGCCACTAGTCACTAGCTTTGAAAGAAGCCCCAGCTTGGTTCTGGCGGACAAGTGGCATGTTCAGCGGTGCCAGGGATCCGGCCAGTGCTTTCCTTTCGCATGACACGGTGGCATCGTAATGTCAGGCACGACTCACTCGAAGCTGGGTGTCGAAAGCCGTGCACAAGGCCAGATAAGGCCGGAGATGGCGCAGCCGCCGATGGTGGTGAGGGCGCTGATGGTGCCGGAGCTTCGGTTCCCGAAACCTCACCGAAGCTGACGCGGACGCGGACGAGTCAGAACGCACCCGGTCCACGTCTGAAGCTTCTCTGCGGAGCCACTGTGCCCGATGAAGACGTACAGGCAGGCAAAAAGCCTGAATCTGCACAACGATCATCTCAAACAAAAGCTGTCGGATGGGGAATACAGGCCTCCCCGGAGTGCAACCCAGACCCAGTGCAGTGACGATGTTTCGGGGCATCAGTAACTGAGGAGATTGCGCATGGAATGCGAGCATTAGAGCCACACGCGGCCCTTCAGTTGCCTCAATGGCTTACCTACAGCATGTCGGCAAAGCAAGGATTTGCTGCAGGTCGATTCTCTCCGGAACACACAGAGCCCCCACAGCTTGACATGGCCAACAACTTTTTGGCTGCGTCAGTCTATAGACCTTCAGGCCCCTCGCAAAGCCATCTACGACCACTTCATGGGTAGCAGTTGATTGTCATCACTGGGACTTACTGCTTCCTTTATCTGATACCCCGGCATGCCTATCTCCGACTCTCTGCAGAACGGTGCCGAGTGGCAAAGCCCGCCAGCTCGTGTAAGCCACGAAAGCCACGACCTGCGCTAGATTCCAACACTTTTGCATCGAAGATGTTGCGTAGAGAAATCTGCACAGGCTCGCACCTGAAGACTCTTGCAGGCTGCTATCTTGTGGTGCTTCAGCTGGTGCTCGCGAAAGCGCAAATAACAACCTTTCCCACCTGAATCTCCAGGACCGGGACTAAGGCGATCAAGTTCCAGACTTCGCCTTCCGGCCAGGGACGGCCAGGAGATCCAAGTGAAATAGCAGTGCCATGCAGTGCTCCAGAAAGGCCCATGCTTTTTCGAAAGCCCGGGCTAGCCTAAAGCGATGGAGACCACGAAAGTGAAGACGAAGCCGCGCGCAAGGCATCGGTTGAAAAGAGGGACAAAGAACATCGCGAGTGGAAGAGATGCCGTAAACATCTTGAGGTAGCTGTTGTGGGTCTCCTGAGTCCAGCACTGAAAAGCAGAAAGAAAGCCACTAGCCAAGAGCTTTCGACCAGAAAGGCCATTCTTGGCGAGACTGTACAGTTCCGCATAAAATGGACATCAGCATGACGGGCAGTGTTTGTACAATAGCGTAGTCGGTTCATGTTTGTTGGCTGTTGAGGCTGTCCCTTGCGGGTGTCGTCTCTTCGTTAATCATTGCAAAATTTCGGATGTGGAAGTAACCCCCGTCCAGTGCTTCCGGGGGGGAAATCGAAAGTCCACAAGAAGACTTGACTAAAGTCGGCCACCCGTTATCAGCAATACAAGACAACACCTGGACGGGGCAAAACTACAAAACAAGACAAGGCTTGCAAAGTTCAACATTGCTCACATTCGGCGCTTCCCGGCAATGAAGCAAGAAGCATCCTCCCGTATGGAAAGCAAGCAGGGCTTGTCAGAATCTAGAATGTCGGTAGTCCAAATTCATCTCCAGAAACCACTTCTGAATTGGGGGTATGGCTGGGCATGCGGCTTCTGCAAATTTCCGTCGCCGCTGCTGCCTCGCATGCTTGGCATACACCACGGCTAAGTCCGTGTCGTATTTGGAAAGAATCCAAAGGGATTTGCGTGCGCTCAACATGCCTCACCCCTGTCGGGTAGAGTTCTGGCGAGGAAAGTCTGGCTGGAATGATGCTTCTAAGATGAAGCAGTTTCTTTCCTGCCTTGCGGATGTGTTCGTCCTGGATTTTCCTGACTTGGCAGTCCTCTTCATGGACGCAGCTTCATGCCACTTGGGTGAAGGCGTCGCTCAGCTTCGTTTATGTGCAACCTCTGCTGTTGGCTGCTTGCCCAGCTGAACATGGTCCAAGGTTTACAGGAGTCCGCAAACATGAACAAGTTGAACACCCGAAACTTAGACTGAGAAGACTGCAGCCAAAGAACAATCCACAAGAAGCCTCGACCCCAAGCCAGTGCACAACCAAAATCCGACTGCAAAGCAAAGGATTCCACTTCTACTTTAAAACTAAGCGAGGGTCAGCAGAAGGACTGCAAGCTCTAATGACGACCTCGCAACAAAAATCCAGGTGTTGCCGCAGCAGGTGATGCGCAGGCAAAGACTTGTAGCCGAGACGATGGCTGTATTGAATTCTTGCACAGTCCTGAAGACGCATTCGTTTCGGACCAAAGTCTGTCGGTCACGCACCTATCGTCTCCATTCCGACCAGGCACTGCATCGCCGAGAGATCGCAGCCACTCCTTGTTCAGCCCCACGTACAGGTTGCTCCGCAAGAACTCGACGCTTCGCCTCGTAGCTGTGCCAGGATTCGCGCAAAACGGCGGGCCCTTCGATGCAGACGGGTGGCAACATGACGAAAGCGAATTCGAAGCTTGCAAGCCTCATGAACAAACAAACAAAAACACGCCGCAACTTCTCTCCTCTTAGTCCTTCAACAACATTTCGGCTCGGCCCTTGTACGGGGGGGGGCCCTTTTTGGGTGCTTTCCGGGCGGGAGGCTGGCGAAGGAGCGGGAGCCCATGGAGCCGAGGCCTCCAACCAGCGCCAGCGTCGCAAGCGTCAGCGTCCTCGTCCAGTCCATTTGAAGCAAAAAGTGACCCGCCCCGCGTTTTTTCCCCCGACGCCCTCAATCCCAAAGCCCTCCCGGCCTCCGCCCTTTCTCTCTTCTTCCCTTTAAATTCTCTCGAAAGCTAGGAAGCGCCAAAGCTTCTTTGAAGCTTCAACGCCCGAAACGCAGAGACCGCAAGCAACTCCCTTTGGTCACTCCCACCGATGTCTGACGCTGTTACTAGACACTTGTGGGAGTCGTGCTTGTCACCCGGATGTCTTCACCACCAACAGATGTCGCTGACCACTTCTTGTCACCATCATTGCTGCCACGCTTATCATGCAGGTTGGATCCTATCCCCTATCCCTTCCCATCCTGGTACTCAGCGATACTAACGGCACTGAGGCGACGATTCGGACCACCTGGAAAGAAGCGCGGCAATTGCGCAGCAGGATATTTCCGCAGAGCATGCCGTGTTCGTCTGCTTGCCGACATTTTCCAATGTGCATCCATGGCACCCCTCCAAGTAAAACCCAACGCTGCAGAGAGTGCCAAGCACCTCCGTTGCCGCTTCTCAGCTGTCATGCATGGTCTACCACGAGACTCATGCACCAACCGCGACTGGCCCAGATCCAAGAAGCAGTCCGCCGTAGCAGCTGAAAATCCAAAAGCGGCTGAAGCCGTTGAGGTAGAGCTGGTAGTGGCCTGCACTGTGTCTTCACAAGCAACATACCTGGAGACATCGCTAAGCCCCCGGCCAAGTGGAATGCTCGCCGACGCATCATCTAAGCAGTTGGCGATGGTCATCACGAGGGGGAAGAGCTGGGCGTTCACCAGGAATGGGAGCTTCATGGACTGCACCTGACAGGCTGTACTCTCAGAGGCAAGGAGGTCCACCTAGGCACACTCCCTTGCAAATCCGCGGCTTGCTCTCGACACTTGTTGCTCAATTCCCACCGCACCATTGCCATTCTGCCATTGCCCCGGATGCGTACCATGCCAAGGCTGCTGACCTGGATCGCACCGCCACCAATGGAAACCAGCAAAACTCCAACGAGGAAGCCATCCACGACGGACTCGAGGCAGCCCCGTGCCGTTCCTGAACACGGGTTTGCAGCACAGCAGCACAAGAATGGAAAAAGACAGCAATTCGCAGCTGATGCTCTTTATGCCCAATAGGCGCCTAGAAGAAGCAGCCCGGTCGACTCTAGCAGTCCACCCACCGCGCATGCAAAGCGAGGTCCGCGGCTGTCAATTGCAAAGCCCATGAAGGTGACGGAAAGTCCCCATCCTTACATGCCGGACACCTCAAGCCCACCGCAGCAGCGCAACAAGATTACAAGGGAAAGGGCAGGCATCCAAACTGCGCCACGGTGAACAGCAGGATCATGCGGCTGGTCCGGTCGTCGCATGAACCATCACCTGCCACTGCGTCCAACGAAACGCCTAAACCGAAGCCACCTGGGCCTTCATTGCCTCACAGCACGTTTACAGTCTTACAGAATTTTTGTTGGGGCCTGAGCAGAGGGATTGATAGACGCCATCCTCGGCTGCACTGATGCGCACACTCGCTGGCACCGAGTTCCTCGAGGCTTTGAGGCTTTGCTTCCGCTGCCGAGCGTCTTCTTCCAGAAGCGCTTGCCATGAGCCCCAGCCGAAAACTATGGACGTGTACCTGTCGCCACCAAGCCGCCCTCTCAAGAGCCGCCCAAGTACCCGGACAAAAGTCACCCTAGGATGGGACATGAACGTGGTCATCAGGCCGAGGAGGACGGTTGCCATCTCCTGGCCGCCGGGCGCTGTCGCGGCCATTCAGCCTGGGCATCGTTGACGGTCGTACGACAGTAGCAGAAGCATTCAGTCTACAAGCTCAGTCATCGATGTTCTGAAAGGAGTCACGCTGTTCTCTCCGTGATTTCCTGGAGCGGCTGAGGCTTCGGCCGTTGTTCCAGGCGAGCGCCAGGCGGCGCCCAGTGACGAACTTGTAAATCGCTTCGTTTAAGGATCGTGTTCGGTGACACTTCTCACTGGAGCCTTGTGGAAGGATGGGCGTAGGGCCAGGCGCACTGGCTGTCGGACTAGCAGTGACTAGCATTATGGACCCGGGCACATCATTTCAAACCCTGCTTGTTTCGTTGATGTGCTTTAAACCTTAGAGCCACAGGCAATGCCGCAAGCCGCAAGCTGCTCGCTGGCACGGCAACGGGGCCGTGCGGCTGGGGGGGGGCGCCAGCACGGAACCGTGTACACCAACTGAACAGTACAACAAGCTTTCCCGTCCGTCGAGCGCACCAAACTCTTTGAGCATGGTAGCCAAGGACCTGCGCCAGTGCTGATGCCCTGGACTGCGGCACTCCACTGCTTCGCCAGTTTGGGGAGCCAGACGGCTTAGGCATGCAATCCCCCAAAGTCCTGCGCACTCCCTGCACTCTTCCTGGCTGCTAGCAAGTTTGCCGGGCTTTCTCATCACACGAAGAGAGAGCTTTGTCTAAGGTCGTCTGGGGTCCCTGCCCTCCCTCTGCGAATTCCATAAAAATGTACCTCACACGACGAGGACTGCTTGGTCATGACTGCAAGAAATCAGAAGCGGCTTCGAAATTCAAAGATGTTCATGCCATGCGTAATCGCAATCACGAGGTTCCGAACCCAGGTCCCCCCCCGAGAGCACAGGGTGTCGCTGCAGTACTCGTGGCCGTAGCAACCTCATGGCCCAACGCGCACCCAAAGGACTGAAAAGTGCTCGCCCTTCATGGGAAAGCACGACCACGGGAAAGCACAAACTAATTCAAGCCGGAGCTGCATATGATGTTCGGGTGCCGCAGGGAGCGCAAAATGTCCTGAGAGGCTTGGCAAGAACTCTTCCGAAAGTAGACATGCCGGAGTCACCAAAAACGCCCCACTTCGGGCTTGTTCTGACTTCCGCACTCATAGGGATATCGGAGGTTGGCTCTGCGGGTGAGTTTGTAACTGTCCAGCTCGCATCTCCAAGTGTCTCGGGCCAAATTGAGAGGTGCACAAGAGTGCCTACACCATGTCCCGCCCCTTTCCAACAAGCTGCAAAGACGGCTGCAAGTCGCGAGTTAGGTCTTGTCGGGGCCAAACCGCCTCCATAGTGGGTCTTCCAAGTCCAACAACAGAATGAGCATTCCTTCGGAAGAGCCCGAGCTAAAGCATTGGACAACAACAGTCTCAGAGACTCGAAAGCCCCACGGTGATCTCGCAATGGCTTTGCCATTCGAGAATGAGTCTTTGACCCGAGGAGATCTGTGTCGAGAAAGCTTGGCTCCTCATTACAGGGAAACCCTACATTGACGCGACTCGATATCTGCGAGCACATGCAAAGTGCGTCACAGAAGGAGCACTACATTCTGCTTACTTGAGCTTACTCTCGGAAGCTGGGGAGCAAGAGCACATATAAGCCTCTCAGTCCACTGGCCTCAAATCCCGAAGAAAGACTCCTCCCAGACAATATCTGCAGAGTCAAAGACCTGATCTTTCCGCCGCTCCGGCCCTTTCTCGGCCTCCAGTGGCACATCGGTTGCCACCGACTTATTCTGGCCCTGCCTCGGTGTGCCCCCGATCATGACTGACCTTCTGCAACAGGGTACGAGAGGCAGAGCAATGACCGAACCCGAAATCACCATCACGCCAAGCAAATACATGGGCATCGGATGCAAAGGTGATGTCCAAACATCCCGCGGGGAGAATGCGTTGGAGAGAGAATAGCCCACGACTACCACCACACTGACCAGGAACATAAAAAGTGCCTGGCAAGCGACTACCAGGCACTTGCAGCAGGACCCTTTCCACCGCCGACTACCCACTTTTCCCAGTAGCAGAAGACAGCGGATGAAGACTGGCATGTAAAAAAGGAAGTAGAGACCCAAGCCTAAATTGGTGTATGTGCTTAGCCAGCCGTGGTGAAACAGCATGACCGCCTCTCTCGCAATGAAGTCAGAAAAGAAGGGAAAGGCACCGATTGCAGCGGCTGAAATCAATGGGCGCATCAGCATGCCATTGCGTGAAATTCTCTGCTCAACCGAAGGTATCAAGTGCTTCTCCAGGTGGCCCTTGAACACTGCTTGAATCAGCTCCACATCTCCAGCATCCGCACGAGATCCGGACCACATCCGCAGCACGCCATAAATGAGTTGCCGGTCGCAATCCAGTTCTGCTCCAGTGGAAGGGTGCCGATGGTCAGTGGAGCAGCAGAAGCATTGGGCTGTGCGTATATCAAAATCATGCAAGACTCTGGGCAACTGCACAAGGTCGGACATCATCTGATTCAAAAGATAGAACAAGGGCGGGTAAAGCACACAAATCTGCACTGCCACGACCAAGCCCAAATTCATCTTCCCGCTAAGCGTGTGCCACTGAAACAGGTAGTGCCCAAACCGTTGTGCAAGCAGGAGCGTGAGCCACGTGGTAGACACAGCAATATAGGTGAGGATCCATATGACCGAAATTTGCACTGGCACGAACTTGATTCGATGGGCTTCCTTGCGCCTCATCAGGAAGCTTGCAATCTCATACCTGGGAGGCAGACACAAACGACCATGGTTTCTCGCTAAGCAGACTGCGCAATCGTGCCTAAGTGAAAGAATCAGCACTCAAATACGATATGTGTGGATACTGCGGGCTGAATTAATGAAGGAGGCGTGCACCACAGCCTGCTAAAGTATTTCGGAGACCAGAGAACAATGAGGTCATCGGACTTGTTCAAGATGGAGGCCAGGCCATAGACACACTGAGTTTTCTTCTGCGGGTCATCTTGAGGTATGCACAACCGATCAAGAAATCCTAACCCAGGACCGCTGACACCCAGGCGGGCAAAACCCGGGACCAAAAGAATCAACTCACGCAGGTGCTGCCAGAACAAGAGAACCAGAATTCCGACCACATGTGCCACAACCGTCCACCAACCAGTCCGCGGCAAGATCCATCCATCCGGCATATCTTCTCTCCATCCACCGACTATGCCCAGTGCAACACTCAACAGGGACGAGGAAATTGCTGCTGCATCGCTATTGAAATAGATTATCAACGACAGGTACTTGATCCACCTCGAGGTTTGCCAATCATGGCTGAAGAAGTACCTGAAGTGCTGCGTTTGCGTGGATAATGCTGGCCTCCACATCAATGCTTCGGATTTATCCGACAGACACCATTCCCTCCCGAAGCGCCTCAGGATATTGCTGAGACGGGCTCCGCGCACCAGCTCGGGTGCCAGATCAGCGAGCAGATCCTCTGATCGCCTGTGGGACAGAAGCATAAGCAAAGTATTGAATCATCTTGGAGCTACGATCGGCTACGGCTATGACAGCTACGACTACAACCCATGCAGGTACCCTGGCAACCGCGAAACGAGCCAAACGAACGAATCACACCTTCCGCCCTGCCACTCACTCCAACCTGGTACACGAAGCCAGGGACGACATTTCCGATGCAAAGATCTGCTCGTGGCCGGCAAGCATCGTTGCATTGGATGGCGATGGTTCTGCTGGCTCTGCTCCATTTGTCAAGACATTTGCAGAAGAAGCTTCGGGGCCAACCGAAAAAACCGAGTCCGTGCACGCCCCGCCCAGTTCCGCTTCGGAAAGAGGCATGGCAAGTCATGCAGATTCCAGGACTCTAGGATGCTCTAGGCTATGGTGTGGTACCGTCATCCTCACACCTGCGACACGTGGTTGGGCAGTGGCGCATGAAGGAGGTGCACCGCCCCACACCATGAAGGCCCCGAATTCCTGAACCCGAAGACACCTAGGAGCCCCAACATTCCCTGCGCAAGACTCGCACACCCTGTCGAACGCTCTCGAACACAGGGCAGGACAGGGGGGCAGGGTTGGTCTGCTCTTCAGATCAGGCGGCCAACTCTTCGCGAAGTTTCTGAATGTACCTCTGGCCCTCCTCGTCATCTTCAGTCACCTCGGGCGGGTATCTGATGAAGGCACGCACCCTTGCACGGCTACGGAATCCCAGTGGCCACGGACTTCTTGACACAGAAGATGAAGCCGTTCTCCGTGTCCAGGGCTCTGCACACAGTGCCGTAGGAACCCTGTCCTGCACCATTCATGAACTCTCGGAGCACGACCAGCCGTACTACAAGTAACAGCTACAGTAAGGTGCTTCAGAGATCCTCATAACTTGCTCCCTGAACCTGTGCGGCCAATCAAGAAGCCGTCCTATTGTCGAACCGCATCGCCAGCTCTTTATGTTCCTTGGAGAAGCGTCGAAGAGAAGTGTCCCCAGGTCTACGATTAACCGATTAATCGCTGGACTTGGTACTCGGAGCTGGGTCTCCGGCGGCATGCCAGGCAATGAGGCCGTGGTGCTTGGTGTTTGCACTGCCGAAGCATAGGCCTCAGGCCTGGGTGATAAGCTTTGCAACAGGCGTTTAAGGCATTGAACTCAGATGCAGCCAACTTGCAAGCTGCCACTCTCGGAGGTTCGTGGAGACGTCGGATTAGATGGCCGGTGAGCCTGGCTCGGAATGCCATACTCTTACTCCTGAACCTATGCCTTCAACACTTTTGAGAAGAGACAGGCACAGCTTCAGAAAGCCCGCAAGGCCTTAAAGTGCCCTGCCTGGACCTTCTCCTGGGACTCCAGCCGGATGGACTCTGTGGTGGCCTTGCTTGGAGACTCTGCAACTCAAGACCCTCAGGGCCGGAGCCCTCAACTCTTGCCGCTGAGGGGCTTCCCTGTCTTCTGCGATGTTCCTTGGCCGCTGCGAGGCTTCTCGTGCTTGGAACAGAAGGGCAAAGCTTGAACAGCCAACCGCCGCCGCCGCATCATGGAACAGCTGCACCTTTTACTGCCCCATCGCCGAGTGGCTGAAGTGCATGGCTGGGGCAGGTCTTCGTGCGCTGCCTTTTCGCTCATAGCATGCCGGTTCTGTCTTGAGACACGAGAATGAAACGCAACTATCCACAAATGATCATACACTTTGATCATGCGTTAAGAACATGGGGCCAGCACCTCCGCCGCACAAACGCCTCGGGCGGGCTAGGCTCCTGAAGAACAGGGACTTGGATCGGCTCGTCGGCTCGTCGGCTCGGCATGCTCGGCTCGGGAGCTGTCGGAGTCCTCCAGTTCTTGCCGCGCCGCCGCGGCCTCGACCTCGAGCGATGGGCAGGTCTTCGTCCGCCGGGCCCTGCACCGCTGCACCGCTGCCACGCTAACTTCGGAGAGTGCAAAGGGGGTTGTTTAACAGGAGTCTGCAAAAGGCCGACGCTTCTGACGGGCGGCCTCCGCTCTTTCTTGGGAGGGCTCAGAGGGCTCAGCTTCGGACTGACCCTGACAGGCTGGCACGTGCTTTCAGATGCTTTCTTGCAGGACGAAACTGTGAAGAGACAGGATTGACAAAAGCAGGCACGGGCATCTCCCTTTCACTGCGCCGCTCCAAGTCAAGATCATCCGTAGCTGGTGCGCTTACCAGCCGACTGAGCTAACATGCTCTCATGGACGGAAATGCCAGTTTTTCCTTCAGGGGAGATGTCAGAAATCCTGCGCTGCACGCATGGTGCGAATCACGGAGGCAAGCTCTGCTGGCGTGAAGGAGGACGCCGAAGCCAGGATCGCCTCAAGCCTCGGGCCAGTGTCTGTACTTGTAGCTGTTAGTACTCTGACCATCTATCCGTGCCAGGAGCTACAAGGGCGACAGCCTGGCTACAGCGGCTACAGAACCCGACCCGACCGCTTTGGGCTTTTCTGCCGCAGGGCTCGCTGTCGCCAAGGCCGAGAGATTTGGCGACCTGCGACCAATGCCGCTCTCAGCGCCCCTTTTGACCTTCCCTGGTCCTGCCTTGATCAACTCCGAGACCTGCCCCTCCTGTTCCAGCAGGGAGAGGGAGCTGTCCATGAGAATACTCTCTATATATAATAGCAAGGTAGCTCACGCTGCAGTGAACAGGAACATGTGCTTCAGATGCAGGGAGAGGGAGCTGTTAGGATAGGATGTGGAGGGAGACATGTTTCGGCCTGTATCGGAATTCCTGAACTTTCTCTCTACGCTCAGCTGCCGCGCGCGGACTCGCACTGCCACTCCGACAGATCGAGCAAAGCAGAACGCACAGAGTGCATGCATATGCATGCCAGGACGGAACAGAAAGTGAAATGTTTAGGAGCGCCGAAACTCGCAAAGACTGTGCACAGGTCACCCTGCTGGCCTTGGGCGCGGGCTCTGCAGCCTCCCAGTTTGGACTGCGATAAAACGAAGAATACACGAGTTGCCTGCAGCCCTCTAGCGGCTTCTGTCATCCCCCTCCTTCTCAACATACGGTTCTCATCCGGATACCCATCCCAAGCTCCACCACAACGAGGCTGAGACATGTCTTTAATTTGGCCGAGGCTTGCCTTCGAAACGGCTGCCGCAGCCGCCGCAGCGACTTCCGCCTGCTGCTCCTCGGTCATGCCTGGAGATTTTCATGCAAGATGTTTACAACTTCCCATGGCCCCCATGGCACATCGGATAGCATCACCGCACGATCTCACGTGCCTGAACCAAGCCCTACACAAAGCGGTCCCAAGGCCCATCTTTTCTGATAGTACCATCTGCCCAGGCAAGCCAGGCTCACGTGATGGGATGAAGGTAACCCATCGTCAACACCGCAAGGCAGCATCACCACGAAGCATGCATCGCACCAACAAACACACGGGAATGCATTCTTGAACTCACGGCCAATTCCATATGCTGCTCAGCCTGTCTGATTCGATGTGGGGCGTGGGCTGCTCTCGACTCTGGACGTACTCGCCTTGCCTGGACACTTCACTGCACCCGGAAACACCGCCCCAACGAACCCAATCCCGAAAGCCCCGCAAGGCCCCACCAGAGTCTGCAGCTGCTTTGACCACCGCTGCAACCTTTGCGGCGGCGTGTGGTGCCGTCCTTGGTGATGCCAAGGCTCTCTCAGCTGGGTCTCGCACGATTCAGAGGGGCGTCGGCGAAGAAACCGCCAGCTGGACCGAAGCTTATGGAGACACCAACGTGGCTCCGAAGAGGTCGAGGAGGACAAACCTAGCTCATCTCCTCAAACGAGCTTTCGACTCCTTGATTATCCCCTTTACCTCATAAGTGCCTCTCATACAATGCTCGTAAGCCTCACAAGCGGCTATAAGCTTCCCTTTGCTCGCGCCGTTTTTTCTGGCTCTAAGCCAAGTGGCGTGCTCGGCGTCTGGTCGTCGGCCGCGGCCTCCAAGGTCCTCACCGCGGCCTCCGAAGGCTCTCTGACTCTGCTTCGCCCACAGCTGTTTAGAAGCGGCCTACGAAAGTGGCTGCTCAAGCAGAAGCTCTACATCGAAATGGAAGCTCCAGCCTTCTGCTTTTCTGGGCTTAGCTCTTCTGCTTTCTCCTGCACCTTCTGCAGCTTCTCGGCATCCTGATGCTGCAAGGGCTCACAGCACGAAAACGCTCTGCTGGCTTTGGGGGCCCTCCCCAAATTGGGCTCTGGTTCTGCGGCCGCCTTGATGCCCGCAGCCTCGGCAGCCTCTACCACCATGCGAACGCCATCGAAGGAGGTCTCAGAGGGCAATGAGGAAAAAGAACTCCATAACTCCACAGAAGCAGAGACGTCTTCTTGCTGCCACGGGGCTGTCGTGGAAGAGTGTTCTGCTGCTACTTGCGCGGCCCTTGCAGCAGAGGAAACCACCTCGGCGCAACCGCTATAGTGATGCTTCCGAAACGCCCGACTGGCAACTGGAAACTGCGGGAAGCCCTGGCCGCAAGGAGAGAGGCTCCGCTCCCCAGATTCTTGGCGCCAAGAAGCTTGCAGCTTCTGTTGCGGGCTTACGGGAATATCCCGGATGACCTGCAGAGCCGCACCATGGTCCTACACTATGTTCCTATGCCATGAATGAACCAAATGTGCGCCTGAGTGATCGTGTCGGCCACCGTCTTGGCAGCAGGGCTGCTGCCTGGGCTCCAGACTCCAGGTCCCAGGTCCCACGGCTTAGCGCAAAGACTTCCAAGAACGGCAACCAGAATCCTCCAACGCGAAAGCACAGCCACAGCCAACTTTGTGCCGACGAAGGAGCCATCAAACTCTGGCACTTCCTCTGGGGCTGGCGTGGTCCTGGGTAAGATCCTGGGACTCAAGGCTTTCCTCATGGGCTTGTACTTGCATCATCAGTTTGGACTGAAGTACATCAACCTCTGCTGCAGTGCGAGGACTGTGACGCCGTGTTCGCAAAACACCCTAGACGTTGCTCGTTTGCATCAAACACGCTGTGAAGTGTTGGATTAGCGAAGCCAGGATGCTCTGCGGCATGAAGAATGTGAAGAAGAGCATCTTGCTCCTGCTCCCAGTATGAACACACTGCACCCGAAGTACTAAGACTCTTTGGCCTGCTGTGCTCGCAGGCTCTTGCTTCGGGCTTCGTTCGGACTTCGACTTCAACAAGAGCTCCTCAGGAGTCTGGACCTGCATGACGGCAGCCTTGACCGGGAAGCTTCAGACACAGGAACCCTGTTACGCTGGTTGATGCCTGCACCCGAACGTGTACCACGGCAAAGTCAGGGCCTAGAATAAACAGATTTTGAGACATTGTACACAATGTGAAGTCTTCGATGGCAACGACTTCAGGCAAAGCTTCCTTTGCCAACGCAAAGTGTGGTGGACAAGAATCCCACCTAACGTGCGCTACGCCAAGCGACCATATCTGATTGCTTGTCCAATGCCATTCCAGCCTTCAGGGCTAGACAGTTCCACAGAATGAGGTCTCTCTGTCGTGAACTATGTCGGCGCCGCTTGGCCCGCAAGGTACCACCAAAAGTGTCACAGCTAAAGAGCTCCCACTTCACACTTCACCGGCCCCCGGTGTGCCTCTTCTGCAGCCTTCACCACTGCTGTAATCATGGCCTCCGGGCCTGCTTGGCGGAGCCCAACCCAGGTTGCCCCCATTTCTGCCAGAAGCGTACAATAGCATAGAGCCTCTTTTGAAAGGCTCCAGTCAATGTGGCTACAAGGTCTCACGGCCTTCAAAGCCCATAAGCAACCGGACTGAAACGCAAGCCGGCCAAATCCGAACCGTGTGCCTGGGGTCGTCATGGATGCCACAGCCGCCACTGCAGCTGCGGCAGCCGCTTGAGCCTTCTTGAAATGAGAGAAACCCAGGTGCAGTTAGACTCTGCATATGGCTGAGAGGGAAGAACAGCCAAGCTTTGTTGACGAACCAAAGGCTACCTGCAAACGTGCTGGCCTGCTGTTCGATCGAAAGGCCTGCTGCTGCAGCAGCCTCCACAACGTGGGACACCTGCAGATAATGCTCGACTCGATGCGGCGGCACCAGCTCCTATGAAGATGACAACAGCCCGTGGAAGCACCGACTGGCCCTATGATCACCCCAGGGCTGCACTGCTCTTCTACCTGTTCACAGTCGGAACCCAGTCCTAAGGAAACGATGACGAGCAGCACAGGACCAGTCACGACACTTGCATCACCGTCTGCGTCAGCAACGGCAACATAACCATCGTCCTAAGCATCCTGCTGATCCCCATCATCCCCCGTCATCACCAGCATCATCATGATCATCATCGTCGCCGCTCATCAGCAACAGCAGCAGCACCACCACCAACAACAACAACATCACCGACCACCACCACCACCACCACCACCACCACCACCACCACCACCAGGCTCGTCACAATCTATCATGAAAGATCCTGTCAACGTCAAACGCAACATTGGGACAAACCACTACGACGGAACACTAGGACCAGGACATCACCTCGCAGGACAGGACGGCGCAGGAATTCCTGTGTGAAAGAGAAGCTATGCGAACCTTGCTCAGGAGTCCGAAGAGTAAACATCCGCGGACTCGTTTCATGTCAGAGCAACTCTTCAAGCCTTTTCCGGACCGCGCTCCGCGGCATGGCGAGCCGCGTCGGCAGCTGCATTCCACAGGGCAAGTAGAGCAGGAAGGCGTTGAGGAGCAGCCTTCGAAATGCATGGATGTGAGGTCGAACACTCAGAAAAGGCTAGCGCATTCGGTGGGTGCGCGTTGTCGTGCCTTGGCCAAAGCGGCGTTGACAGCCTGTAGGTGGCTGGTATCCAAGCCGGCAGCGGCAGCCTGGCAGGAGTTGGCTGCAGGTGCAACCCTCGGATTCTGCACCTGTTTTTGTCAGAAACACGCGCTCTAAAGCCAGAACCACTGCTGCTAAGGGACGGCTTCAGCAATGGCCTGTGCAGAAAGGGCTCACGCAGCGAAGTCCCACCGACACTTCGGCATCACGGCAAAGAAAGAAATCGGTGAGGACAGCGGCACGCATTTTTGCTCAAGGCCTCCTTGCTGACCGGCTTCGCGAGGGTCTTTGCAGCAGCCGCCGCTGCAGTGGCTGCGGCCATTCGCTGTGGCAGTGGCATTCCAGCACGCCTCTGACCCCCAGAAGGTTGATCAGAAAATGGACTCAAAAAGGGGTCAGGGCTAATTCTGTTGGGCTGCTCTGCTGCATCGATGACAGCTGTCGCAACACGGCTGGGTGCATCCTCGGAGGGACGGTCCAGGAAAGGGCATTGATTGGAAAGCACCGCAGTATCAGAAAAACGGTCATCTTGGTGCTTAGCGCCTAACCTGGGTAAGGGACCAAGCCCACAGCTAGCCCGGGCTCTAAACAAACCGGCGAGGTCTTCAAGCTAGAGTGCTGAGGCCCTGTGTACAGAATATGACTTTAATTTTCGTGCCTACTCCACACTCTGCCGTCCTTCGTGCCTCTCCACTCTCGTCATTGGAACGAGCTTGGATTGAAGCTTCATGCTGATTTCGGGTTGGAGTTTGCTGAGCGACTCTTCATATGATTCATGGCATCGAAGCCGAGCAGCGGCTGGGACATCTGGAATTGGAGTGGTGCTTGTGCTCAACATCAGCCTCCACGCCAATACCAAATGAACTTGTAATAGAGACGTTGTTTTGACATGTGCTTGCCCTTTTCCTCACGCCATCCAACTTCTCGCTTCACTGGGAACTGCAAGTTTTGACACCAAAGACGAGATCGAAGCATCAAGGTCGACAAGAAAAAGGAAAACGATCGGATCGGTCGTGCTGATCTGAATAACCACAAAGTCTGTTTAATTGCAAGCGACTGCGGCTCCACAACAGCCATCGGGGCTGGTGGCGATGCTTCCGGCGCCGCTGCTGCAAGTGGTGGTGGCGGCGGCGTAGTGGTCTGCAGACATGAAGATGGCATGCAGTTGGTGAAAGGAATTCCGCAGCGTAGGTTGCACTGCAGCACAATGAATCACAGAACTTGCAGGACATGCTGACATGCACAGCTGCACATATTGAAATTCATGCAAGCACCTCAGGAAGCTAGGAAGCCGAGGGACTGTGAATGACATCACATTGGCCCTGCCGCTCGGAGTCTCTGCTGGAAACTGCCCTGCAGGCCACTCGTTCACTGCACCGCGGAATCTGCCACTACCGGAGCGGCATGGTCCCGAGCAGAATGCTTGCATCAGAAATATGACTTCCGGTTGCAGGTCCAGGTGTCGGCTTCCTGCTCAACATAACCTGCGAATCGTTTGGAAGTGTCACGATCGAATTGCTGCCATGGTGCGACCAGCTGTGGTAGTTGGAAGATCCTGTCGAACACAACGCGAGGAGGGATGCTTTGAAGTGCTCGGGAAGATTTTCAATCAGGCAGCGTGAGAAACAACACCCCAAGTCAGCTCCTACCAGCATCTTCCACCGGTGGGAACGTCCCTCAAAACTCGCCTTTGGAATCATCGGTGGTATGTGGCCCTGCGTCTCCACGGGCCCACCGGCAAAGCCCGATAGCAGAAAGGGGCCTACCTTGAAATGCAAAGCACTCGGCACAAAGCTCCCAAGCGAGCACGTAGCACAAAGCACTGCTTCGACCCCTACCCAGTAACAAATGTATAATGGGATTTGCGGAGCTTTGAGAACTGGATCCAGAGTGCACAATTGGCTACAGACAGGCTCGAACGGTCGGTGATGTGAATGAGTGATTAAATGAGTGAGTGAGTGAGTGAGTGAGTGAGTGAATGAGTGCGTGAGTGAGTGAGTGAGTGCGTGCGTGAGTGAGTGAGTGAGTGCTCTGCGTCGACTTCGCAGGACGGCCCCGAAAACGCCATCGAACCCCCAAGTGTAGTGTGAGAGAACTAGCTCGTGCAACTTTAACTTGGAGTTGGTTGACCCCTTAGAAAACCCCGAAAGTCCATAGAAAAGAGATGCACGAGCCGGCCGTGCATGCAACACAAGCAAAGGTACTCCAAGCAAACACAGAGTCGCCTTCAAAGACAACAGTGGGAGGGAGTATGTGATGCCCGTTTCAGAAAACCATATGAGCCAGTCGAACTGCATGGTCTCTTTGCAAAATAAACTTAACTGGAGACAGCTTCACACAACCAGTACTTGCTGCAAACAGTTGACAGTTGTTAATGCTGCCGACCACAAATCTCATCGCGATTTATCTCCAGTTCCAAGGAGCCATGAACCCACCGGCATTTGGCACATCCACCGCAGCTTTGACACTGGACTCACGCCAGACAGAACCTGAGTCAGATCAGGTTCATGCCCCGACAAGAGAGAATCTTCATGCACGCCATGACGAACGTAGCCTACTGCGCATTCCCAGCGTTGGCAAGGAGTGGCGAACTTGAACGCTCCAGAAGCAAGCAACCACGGCGGGTTGGGAGGGGCCAAGGAAAGCAAGATTTTCGTTCCCTGCAGCACTGTCAGAGCGGAGCCTTCTGAAAACGACTTGCTTCGATAAAGACACCGTCTTGAGACCTCTCCATTTTGAAGGCAATGGGGTCGCAGGCCCGAACCTCGCATCGGACAAAGCCGGAAAAGGAGCACACTCAACCACTTCGGCCGCAGTACCAGTTGACCTAGACTCTCTCTAGAAGCCACCTCCGTGCTGTTTTCAAGCGCGGTCTTGAAACCATAGCTCCCCACTCGGTGGCCTGCGGCATGGCTCAGCATTACCGGTCACTACCAACATCTCCCGAGTAGGTTTTCAGTGGCATGCGGTAGCTTCCGATGACCCGGAATCGGCTTCCATGGAGGTGTTCGTCAGAAATTGATGGAGCTTGCCGCTCTCTCCCTCTCCCTCCCGCTTAGAACGACACTTTGCACACACTCTATGGTTGCACCTGGCTGAAGCTGCAAGACAATGCTCTGACCAACTTCCAGATGACAGCTTGTTTCCTCAGTTGCTGAGGACTGGCATCTGGTCCAGGATGTTCAACAGCTGTCCGGCACAAGCTCACTTTCTTGTTCTCGTTTCTGTGACTGTCGCTTCGCGATGCCGACCATGCATTGTAAAAATATCGTTGTGAGCAGAAGTTGCTGGCTGCTTGGAATTCATGTTTGGCAAATTCCGAAGTATCAGGTTCATCTGAAATGAGAATGCAAGGATCTGCCAGATAATGACTCAGGGGATGATGTTTCTCGTGAATGCTCAACCGGCCGCTGCAGCAGCCAGCGCCTCCCAAACAACACAAATGAAACCCATTCATCCGAAGCCAAGTCTCCAGCTTGCCATCGACACACAAATCCACACTTCCCGGAGTTTCAAGCAGATTGGGTCCTTCCAATCTCGCCTGGCCGGCTCGAGGCTTAAGTTTTGTGAGGATGTGTGACGTGAAGGAGTGCTGCGTGCACGGTTGCGCGGGTGGTGCATAACACCTAAGACATGGAATAGCGTGAAAGCATGTTGGGCTCACCATGTCTCTCAAATGCATGTTGCCGCAAACAGATGCCTGAATGACATTGGCGGCGCTGGACAAATCAATTGGCTGGCCAGCTGCATCTTCCAACACCCTTGTTGGCAACAAGTGCAAAGACTCGAAACATCCAGCCAGCAAGAACAGCCGCAAATTCTATGTACAGACGTGCAATATCATGCAAAAACAGCTTCACTGTGTCACTTGCAAGATGATGTCGGGGTTCCTTTAAGGCTTTAAGGAGGCCACAACTCTGCAAACTCCACTTGTCCACGGTCACTTCGCGTCTTGGTGACCACAAAGCGCACGAAACCATCATCCTGAGGCCAGAAGCGCGCAGCGAACATACGGCACTATCAACTGTGTCTCAGCTTGGCGAAGCACGGCCGACGACAGCAATGCAACTGGCGAATGCACCTGCAAGCAAGTCGAACGTCATCTGCATCTCTCGATCTTGCGCCCTGCACTTTACTGGTTATATGTTAACGGCGGAAGCCATCTTCCACTGAGGGGCGTGCCATCATTCGCGGTGGTAGCTTAGCGCAATGCTGCAACTGCCTGGTTACTGGTTTGGCTTTACGTCTGAATATGTCTGAATGAACACTGTCGATGCCCATTGTGAGGCTCGCAGCAAGGTGTCTGTTCTGCTGACCAGATGCGAATGCAACGAACCGCCGGCATCAACAAGGACTCTGCGATTCGCCTTCGATCTGTCGGCTGGGCCAAGTTGCAGCCCTCCACTCCCACGCACACTACAAACCCAACCTGTGTGATCACGGCGGCCACTAACGAAGGCAACCATGCGAGAAGAAGAACACGTTGCAAGAACCTCGGATGCGGCCGAACGCGTACCCGATTCGGATCCTCTGCATCCAATTTTTCCACGCGCCTTTTCCACCAGCCGAGGTTCGGGAAGTCCGGTCCCAGTGCACACGACGCGCTACCTTATGGAGCCGGCTCATTCGCTGGCGGCCGAGGGGGGAGCCTACAGCTGCTCGCCGCACGAGTCGGCCAAGACCTCATGCAGCTCTGGCATGAGTCCCTCGCCGAGCTCGGCCGCGGGTGGGAGCTCGAGGAGCGGGGCGGCGTAGGCGCAATGGGATGCGACAGAGAAGGCCGGACCAGCGCGAGATCCAGGCGACAGTGGCTGAAGGCCTCAAGTGTGCGGGGACTGCGGCGGCCCGGTGTCGCGCGAGGACGTAGCAGCTGCACGGTCTCGGCCCCAAACCTGGCGCCAACGTCCAGGCCAACGACAACCGGGCGGCAGCGCCGCGCTCTCGAGCTCAGGGTAGGTTTGGCGCCGCGTGTGCCGGGCAGCGGCCGTCACGGCGATTCCCAGCTGGGCATGAGCAAGCGGGTGGGGCTCCCGGCGCCGCGTGAGGGGGCAGACGATGGTGGCGTCCAGGGCGAGCTGCAAGCCATGCCACAGAGGCAATCCGTTGGCAACGACCTCAATGCGCCGCTCGTCCGAGATCGGTACATCAAGGTTGATGTCAGCCAGCCGGACGTGGCGAGCGACACGAGCACCGGCTTCGCGACAGATCTGCGCGACGGCATGCTCGAGGGACAGCCCGAGGTAGCGCAGGCTGAGCGGTGGTCGCCAAGCGCATCAAGCTCTCCAGGCAGCGGCATCGGCGCGGATCCTCCTGCACAGCGGGCGGCGTGCACTGCCGCGTTTGCGTTGCGCTGGTCTGCGCTCCTGGCTTTTGCGGCCGCGCGGACCTTTGCTGCCAGCCTCCTTTCCTTTCCCTTGTCCGGCACCGCCAACGTTGATGGACACATGCCGCTCCTCAGCGACGTCCTGGCTGACTCTTCCGAGCAGCCCCCGCTTGCCAGCCGCATGCCGTAGTCTGTTGCCTGGACTTTGGGCATGTGCACTGGGACCGCGGAGTGGACGGACGTAAAAGAGAGGTGTGTGGGGGGAAAAAAAGGGTTTGGCCTCCGCTCTGCCGCCACCGACCGCTTTGCCGCGCATTGGGCTTCCTGGTGCGACACCTTGCCTGTCATTCGCACGCGTGCCCCTGCTGCAGCTGCCCGGCTGCTTGGCGCCCTCCAAGGCGACAGCGTCTTGCCCTCGACCACTGCCGCCGCACCTGCGCTCGTTTGGCTGCGATACCCTTGGCTGGGCAGCCGTCTGCACTGGCGCTGCTGCCGCCCCACCTCCCCAGAGCGGCGGAGAAGCCTCACGCGACCCCTGGCCCTCTTCAGCCTGCAGCTTCCCCTCCTGCTTTGCTGCGGGCAAGGAGTCTGACAAACTCAGCGGCTTGGGGGCTCTAGCGTCCTCCGACCTCAATGCCAAGGACGACAAGCCGACACCGGCGCCCGGAAGCAAGCTCTGGGTATGTCCGAGCTTTGGCACGTTCAGCAACACGCAAAGCTGCCCCAACCGTGCGGCCGCTGTCTCGGCATGGCATGCCAGCTGCAGTGAGGGCCGACACCAATGTGGTGTCAACGGCAAGCTGCACACCGCCCCACAAAGGCAGGCCGTTCCCGATGACTTTTTTTTTGGTGCGATGACTTCGATGCGTCTCTCGTCCTGGCGGACAAGGACAACATTCAGATCACGCACCAGGGCATGCATCGCGACAATGGCGCCCGGCGCCCGCCTCCCGACAAACTCTGGCCGCCGCTCGCTCGAGTCGGCCCCAGACCGCGGGCAAGAAGCAAGGTGATCGCCGAAGGCATCATTCGGTTGGCGACACCGGCATCTCGCTGTAGTCAGCGGGAGTGGCAGGCGGAGCCGGCGCAGCAGGAGAGCTCGGAACAACGGGGATTCCAGGGTGAGCTCAGGCGAGGTGGGCCGTGCAGTGAAAACGCGGGCTGCGTGACTCGAGCAGGGCGGCTAAGGAGGCATCGAGTTCTCGCAACAAGGCTCGCTGGCAGAAGCCGTCGACGGCCTGGGATGCGGCACGCTGCCAGCCACGAGTGTTGTCAAGCTGTGGCTCGTCTTGGACGAGCAGGCGCGGCTTCTCTCCGTGAAGCACGTCGTGCCAGGACGGGGGTTCGAAGCCAACGGCGGACAGACAGTCGCGGGCAGTTTGAAGCGGCAGCAACTCTGACAGCTCGCTTGCTGTTTCCAAGCCCTGGACAAGTCGAAGGGCGAAGGGGCGGTCGCGCTTGAGCATGGCTGGGAGCGTGTCGGCCCAGGATGCCCAAAAGGCCGCTGGCGCATGACGGACCACGCTGCGCCGGCCGAGGCCGCCATGGCGTAGGGCCAACTGCACACGAGCAGGTAATCCCTCAGCGGCATCCGCAAACAGGAGTGAGTCAAGGCATCTCAACACTGCGGCATCATGACGCATCGCATACTCGTGCGTGCTGGCAGTGGGGAGCGTGCGGAGAGCATACTGCGCCCGTGGGCATGCGCAGCACGACAACAGCAGCCACCCGACCTGTGTGTCGTGCAAATTCGGCAGTTGGTTGAGGAGAGTGGCCTGCCGCTCCAGAGAGTGCTGCAACTGTGCCTGCACGAACTCGGGCGTGCCGAACCGTGATCCCAGCAAAACGAGCCCACGTTGGGCAGCCGCGAGCGACGAGTCCCCAAACCAAATGCGGGCAGTGGTTGATAAGGCATGCAGGCCATCGGGAGCGAGCCCAGCTCAATTCCAGATGGCTGTCTTGGACAAATTCAGGCAGAGACGTGTGTGAAACGCGAGGTGGTGCTCAAAGCGCTGGATGAAATCCAAGGCTCGCTGCGGCCTGGCCAGGATAGTAACGTCATCCAAGTATGCAAGGACGCGTTCGCCAAGCTCGGGTCGGACATCAAGCTGCAGATCCCGCAAAGCTGCACGCAAGCCTAAGCTGAACAATGCTGGGCTCAGGGGGTCACCCTGTTCGACTCCTTCACCTTGCTGCAAGTGCCGCGTGTGCGCGCCTTGCTGCCAACAGTAGGTGGACGTGCGACCCAACCACAAGCGCACGAACGGCAACAGCGCCGACGCCTGGGGGACCCCCGTCAGCTCCCGCAACACCGTTTGTCGGCTGATGCCATCATAGGCGGCAGCGGCATCAAGGGACACAACTGTGAGCTGGGGGTCAGCTGCACAACGAGCCTGCACTTCATGGACCAGGGCCTCGGCCCCCACTTCCCAGAGCGTACTGGTGCGGGTGGCACGCTTCTGCAAGGGGAGCCGCAAACTGTTGTGCCAACGTGCGGGCGACCAGGCGGCGCAGGAAGTCGCCGACCACAAGGCCTCGCGTGCCACCACTGGGCTGAAGCCCTCCGAGTCGTTGCGCGAGATGGGCAATGCGGATGCTTCGCTCCGGGACGGGGGCGGCTTCGCGCTCCAGGAGTGCGGGCCGCATCGTGTGCTGCTGCATACGCGGCGGTGAGGTGCGGGGCAGGATTCGCGGCAGGTAGTTGGCACGCGGGGCGGCGCAGGACTGGAGCAGCAGCCAGGCCGCCTGCAAGTCGTCGAGGCTGGGGAGACGTTGGAAGAGCCGGTCGTGGTCCTCGCGCTTGCTCTCGGGGTGCTTGGCGACGAAGGCATCGTGATCGAGAGGGGACCCGAGCACGGTCAACCCTTGGCACTCCGTCGGAAGAAACCAGTCCCCGACCCAGACGGGTTCAGCTCCGCTCCGCCGCAGAAGTCGGCGATGGCATTCGGCTCTTCGCCGGCAGAATTCCGAATCCTCGTCTCGCCTTCATGGAGACGGAGCCGCGCGTGGTGCCACAGGGCGTCAGCGAGGGCGCAGAAGAGCGTACGTGTGCGCTCGGGTGTCGAAACAATATGAACATCGGCGAGGAACGCGAAGACGGCTTCACCGTCACCCAGCTGGCTCTGAAGGTCAGCGAGCGCGGTGTGCTGCGCCAAGGCATAGAATGCCGGCATCAATGGGTCGCTTTGCTCGCCCTCTTCGGCCTGACAGACTTCGTGCGCGCGGCCATCTTCGTCGAACCAGGTGTAGACGCTAGGCGTGGCATAGACCTGCCGTGTGTAGGGGAGCGAAGGTTGCAGCTCCGGCCGGGTATGCGGGGCGGCTAGGATGGATCCCCGCGAGACGTGGTCAAAGGCGCCAACAGCATCAACGGAAAGAACCGTGGCACGGGATAATGCCTCCGTGGCCGCGCGGAGCAGACGGCTGCTGACTGCCTCCGCGTGCCGGTGCGCGTGCTCGTAAGGCATGCAAGCCTGTTGGAGCAAAATGCTGCGCAAGTACCCGGCCCACAAGACGACGCAGCGCATCCCTGACTGCGAGAGCACGGACCCGGCCGTTTGGCTTGCGCAGTGCGACGAGGCGCGCGACACGGATGCCGTCGAACACAGCGAGAGGCACATTCCGCATTGGCTAGTTGAAGGGCGGCGCCATGCAGCAAACGGGCGTCCTCCTCGTCGTCGAGCAAGACGCGGATGTGCTCGTTGGTGGCGGACGGGCCGGCAGCGGAGCCGCGACGAGCACTCCGCAAGCTGTCGAGGAAGGCCCGCAGAGGCAGGGGGCATGGTTGATCAGGGTTATGCTGGAGCAAGGCCTGCTGCAGCGGGGCGTAGCGCTCGTGCGGTCGTGGCTGGGGGTCGCGGAGCTCTACGAGGGTGTCGCTGTTGCCTGCAGGAAGCGGTTCTGTTGTCAAGGTGGACAGGAGCGGTTGCACGGCGCGCACGCGCGGCCTCACCAGCAGGGTCTGGCCTTGAGCTTGGCGTGGCGGCGAGCGCCGCAGCGTCCTCGCGCAGCAGGTCGTTGCATAGCCCTGCTCGAAACGCGTCACAGCGCCTGTCCAACTCCGTAGTGGGGACTCGGGACGTCGCCAGGCGAGCGGTAAAGCAGGATTCGGGGTGCGAGGCAGAAAAGCTTCCGGCCACGCACTTCGTCCCCAGGGCAGGACGACGGATG